TTAATTACTCTCAAACTTAAAAAGTATTGTCATGTTTAAAGTTTGATATTGTCAAAAATCATGATAGTTACTCCGATTTATTTAGGTAATAAAAACATAGTAGTCATATTATAGAATTCAAATATTTTTACTCCTATTAGGCCAATTTCTTTTAAATACAATTTGAATATAATTCAAAGTTTTTTTAGCCGGATGTTTGATGTACTCCTTTAAAATAATCAATATTACGTACTACTTCCATCCCACAAACATTGGACATGAGGAGGAGGTACGATTATTAAGAAAAACTAGTTATCCTACCCGTGCGTTGTACGGGGTGAAGAATCTCCACATAATTTAAATGAAATTATATAAAAACCAAAAGTAATTTAATTTAATAGTGACTCGATGAACTTAGGGGGTGTTTGGATCTGATTCTTAAAACTGCTTCTGCTCCTTCAGGGAGCAGAAGCAGAAGTTGGAGTGTTTGGGTGAAAATGCAGAAGTGGTTCTGGTGCTCTAATTTACTCCTAGAAAAAGTTTTTTAGAAGTTGGGGAGTACTGACTTCTGAAAACTGATTCTGGTTCTGCTTTAAAAAAGAAGCAGAAACAGAATCAATTCCAAACACCCCTTTAAAACCATAAATAAAGTTTCAAATATCTCACTGTGATAGCAAATTATAAAATAAATAGTAAAAGTTAGAATTAAAACATGCAATGTAAGTCCACATAGTTGTTAAGCAAACCTACAAATTATTACTACATATAGTATTATGTGCATACAATATTCAACACGGATTTGATTGATCACCCATCTTCGTCAAATATCACAACATTCAACCCTGTTGAGCTTGTTATTTTGGAGACGGCCACATACTACCAATATGTACAAATGGGGTGACAAAGGGTAATGTTACCTTTTTCCAACAACTACCCCTACTTCTTGTAATGGTCATGGATGTTTTGAAGCCGTTAGATAAATTCAAGTCATGGATGTTTTGAAAAAGTTTCATTAAAAATTATGAGTGTATTAAATTCAGGATATACAATAAGGCCCACCCGATATGGATCATTGATTGTTTCCAATGTTGGGATAGGGAATAAAATGTGACACATGTCCAATGAAACATTATCAACTTTAATCAAATCAATAACATTTTTTTAAGGATCAGCACCTTGGTAGCAACTGTCTGTGAAACATTCCCTTGCCATATCTTCCCAAGGGAAAATTGTTTTGATATCACTCCAAAAGGGCTATTGAAACTCCTAGGGGCTTATGTGTCTAAGTTAATAATTTCCATGGTCCACAAGGAATGCTGCAGTTGAACCCATAAGAAATGAAATGCGTCACTTTCTCATTTGGATGGTCAAAATGATAGAAAATACCAAATTAATATCTCTAGCTTCATAACCTAGGCAAACCTCTGTTATATAATAATGCCATTAAAGGTACACACTCTTCTGTCCAAATGGTTCTTTCATCAAGTTCCTTCATTATGTTAAGTTTCCATCTTTCATCAGCATAAGTGACCTGTAATAAAACATAAAGAAGACATTAAATGAAAAACAATAAAACCTTAACATATTTACAAAAATAACAAACCAAATAAAAATAATCAATTTTCATCTTCAAATGTTAGGTACTTAGTATTTGCAGCAATGATACAAAGCTAATGAATCATTTTGTAAGTGGGTAAACAAAAATGGAGGGAGGGATTTTACATGAAAGCTATGGCAACAGTTGGAAGTAGATGGACAGTAACAATGTCTTGTAGGGCAGGCCTCTCTAATCAGGTTTGATGGAATACCAAATCTCATATTTTTTTTAAATCCGATTTAGTTGATTAACCATAAAGACAATAGGTTACAAAAATGCAGCTTATAAGACAAATTTTTGAATGAAAAAAATAAGAACTCTCTGTTTTGAGTTTTTTATTTTATGATTCTATTTCACTTCTTTCTATTTTGTGTGAGTCTGTGTTCGAATGTGTAGAAAACTTTTTGAAAGTATTCTATGTTAACAGATTAATTTCATGTTGCATTTGAAAATAAATAATCAAATGGATTAATTTTTTTGATGTCCTTGAATATCTATGTTAATTATCCGTTGATGTAAAAGAACATCAATCCAGCTTGTTACTTGCCCAAAAGCAATGTTCAATTTCTAAAGTATGAACCGGATTCAAAGGAAGAAGCTTAAGAAAAGAGAACATAAACCAACTCTACACAATGCCCTGGAAAATCGATTATTAAGTATTGTAAATCAATCATGTAAAGGAATCAGCTTAATTAAGACGTCTAAAAACTATGGAGCTGATTTTGGATATGTAATTTAGGTTAGCATAGCAGACAAATGGTCCCCCTAAAAACTTCAGACACTAAAAACTACGTAGTACAAAAATTAACCATCAAAGAGCTCGAATCCAAATGTAATACTAACATTTAAATAAAATGAGAAGATAATGCGCAGTTTTGGATGTAAGAAAACCTAGAAGGGAATCAAATATAAATTCCTATAAACTAAATAGAGAGGAGTAACTGGTACCTAGCTTGACAATCGATGCAAAAAGACCACTCGAAAGTGCCGCATAAGTCGTTATTTCTTCAAAGGACTTGCGGCTAAAGAACAGAATTGCTTTCATACCAATGGAAGAAGGTGTTTCGAAAACTCGAAGTCGTGATGAGGCGTGGGATGTGCGGCCGTGATGGCTTCAAGCGAAGTCGTGAGGTGATTTCAAAAAACTCGAAGAAGAAGAGAATTGGGAAATCATAAAGAAGGGAATGGGGAGCAATGTCGGAGAAGCTGAGAAAGTGATAATTGAAGTCAGAAAAACTAAGTAGAAAGAGAGAAGTAAAAGTAAAGAGAAAAAGAAAAATAAGATAAACGGCCCTGATGTGTTCTAAACTAAGGGTTTTGATTGAGTTGTATTACTATTAAGTATAAGGGATGAGTTTATGTGGTTGATATTGAACTGATAAATTAAGAATTAGTAAGAAAAATTTAGAACCACATAAACATTGCCGAATTTTGTATGAGACAATCTTAGTGAGACGGATCAAAAAGAAAATACGTAGTATTTAACAATTTTAGCGGGGTCGGAGGGAGTACTACATATTTCTTATAAGATATTGTAAGATTCTTATAGCAAGTTTTTGGTTGTAGCATGTTCTAAACAAGACGAGGCTACATATTTTAGGAAAGCTACTTATATTAGATTAAATATATATTTAATTTATAGCATATTCTAAAATATACTACTCCCTCTGTTCAAATATAAGCTTTCAAATACCTTTTACACGCGATTTAAACAAGTGAAAATTGTATGGCGAAGAATTGTGCAGAACAGAGAGAAGTATATGAACAATGAATTTTTTACCATAAACGGAAAGTAAAGATTATTTTGGGATAAATGGAAAATGAAAATTGTAACATTAACATGGGATAGAGAGAATCAATCAGACGAAGGTTCATATTTTAGTTCTATTACAAGTTTCATTTTGTGGCATATTCTACTCGAGATGAGGGAAATAAATGATACATATCAAACATATAATCTATAACTTTTAAATTTTTTAGCATAACTTTGAAGTTATTGATATAACCAGGAAAGTGTATATAATAAGAAAATATGAACAAATGACATTCTATATTAAAATGTTTCAAGAAAATACAAGTTAAACTCACCAAACAGTTATTTTGGTGTAATAAAGGAAAAAATTATATTATTAATTTATTCACAAAATATTATCTTCAAACTATTTTTTTAAAAGATGAAGTTAATTGAGAATGGTTTACGAATATATTTATAGAAAATTGAATTTAATGATTTTAATCTAATTAAACATAAATAAAAAAGAATTTGTACTTATGCTCTCTTGGATTTTGTTTGTTGTTTTTTAACTATTTTAAAAGTTTTTGTCGCGGCATTACTGATTGGGTAAAAAAAAGTTTTGAAAGAAATTGCTCAAAAAGGATAAAACATGAATAGACAAAATTCGTAAATAGGATTAAGTATATTTCTTCGTAAAATATGAATTATTTACTCTTATTAAAGAATAAAACAATAACAAAAGAAAGTAGAAGGAAATGAGGCTCCTATATATTTGAGAAATTATGTTTTGTATTGCTGTCATTTAGAGAATATTCATAAAGATAAACCACATGTTATAATTATCCTTTTCAAAATCTGTAATAGTTACGTTGAGCCTTCGAGTTATAGCATCATATGATGAACATCAAATGTTGGTTTCTCCTAAATGTCGAAACCCTTTGCTGTCACATATTTGAGGATTGCAATTTAAGTGTACCAAATTGAGTAAAACTGTGATGAATAAGATGTTAAACTGCATAATGAGAAGCATGGTTAGAAGCTTGAGGCGGCGAAAAACTAATTGTTATCATGTGAGAAACCATAGTTATGTTCATATTTATATACAAGTCAAGTTGTTTTTGAAATTTTTAAAATTTGCAACACAAAATTTCTCCCTGCTAAAATGCATACTTTATGTTATTCATTGAAAATTTGTTTAATTGCAATTGGTTTTGTGTGCTTTGCTATTACTACCTCATTTGTATGATGCCTTTTTTTATATTGACATTTTGCAGTAATAAGTTGTTTTTTCATTATAATTTTGTAATAATTTTACTTTTTGTAATTAATAATTCTTAATAAAATCTTCCACCGTGCATCGCACCTGTGACATACCAGTATCCTACAGTACTAACCTGGAAGGAGAAGAGCTAATAACTTCCGTAGTGTGACACCTGCTTTTGTCACCGTTATTAGAAATTCATACTTCGTGTTTGTTCTACACATCCATTTGATGGAAATGCAATCGTTTATCTCGAGATGGGACAGGCAAAAGCTGCGGCTCCGCCTCGAGAGGCGCAGTGCTCTCTTATCGCCGCTAACCATGATCTTTACTCCTAAGCTTAGAGGCCTCGCTTCTAGGAAGCGGATATTCCGTTATCTCCTTATTAGCATCGCCTTCATAGCAATTATCCCGCCCCTCTTCTTTCACTTCAAACTCCGTCGCTACATTCAGGCAAGCTTGCGTACTCTCTATGCAGAATTTTGTAGGGTGCATTTTTTTTTTTTGCGTTTTACCAGTGCAGTTGTTCGAACTTGTACATCAGAGATTACATAGATGAATACTTCTCTTTTGAATCGAATATTCTGTGCTTTTAACCAATCAGTATTTACTTTTATTTATTAGTTCTGTACTAACGATGATGTTACTCCAACCTCTCATTTGGTGAAAATAACCATTTTTTGTAAGATTTTGCTAATTAGACCTAAATTTCATTCGACTTTTATAAACAAAGTTCAAGCCATGGCGTCCTTAATTTTTAATTGAATTTATAATGTAACCAATTGTAGCCCCATTTGTGAGATAGGTGATGACGATCCATTTGTAACCACAAATGTGAGTTTGGATAGGGAGGGGTGAAATTAAGGCGATAGTGGTTGGAACATTGAGATATGTGAACAACATTTTTTTTGTTCATGCATAATTTGTTTAACTAACGATCGGTAGGATACCTGTATTGAAAACCTCTCTCTCGAAGTGAGCCCTTTTCCCTCGGTGGGAGGAAGAGCTATAGTTAAAGCTACCTGAGCTAACTGCTTTTCACTCTAATTCAACTTCACTGTTCTTAGAATGAGAAAATCATAACTTAACTTCCAATCTCAAGAGAGGGGAAAATCTACTCAAACTGAACCCCATGTGACTCCCCAGCTTGTGTTCGCTAACAGAAATGATATATGATATGTCATCCAAGCTTACTTCACTTCTTTTCTAATCAGATTCTAGGGTGTTAGGATGTCCCCCGTGGGGTCATCTGGTTGGATTTAGACCACTCTTACACAACCTGTAAGTTTGACAATAAGTTATATACGATTCAACGGACATTCAACAAAATGACCCTAAAATGAGGCAACCCCGCTCACTCCAACAATGAAGGTGTCATGTCTGAAAGCCAAGCCCAGGCAAGAAGAGGGAAAGTATACCTGTATTGAAAACCTCGCTCTTGAAGTGAGTCCTCTTCCCTTAGTGGGATGAAGAGTTATACTTCAAGCTACCTGAGCTAACTGCTTTTCACTCGTATTCAACTTCTTTGCTCTTAGAACGAGAAGAGGGAGTCAGTATCGAAACTTAACTTCCAATCTCAAGAGAGGGGAGAATTTACTCAAACTGAACCCCGTGTGACTCTTTAGCTTGTGCTCACTAACAGATCTGTCATCCGAGCTAACTTCACTTCTTTCCTAATCAGATTCCCCGTGGGGTCATCTGTCCCATCCTACTTTTTATCATAGCAATGCACCATACTATCTTACCAAACTATGTTATAAAGAGAGTCCGTTTTCTGGCAACTTAGTCTGGTTTGAGCGCCCATAGATGTCGAACCTCTTGAACAGCTTCCAATTAAAGATTTGTAGGTCACCCAAAGTCCCTGCTCACTCTGCCAATCAAGGGCTAAACCAAAACACGAAGAATCAAAGTGAGTTGTCGACTCTACGAGAGCTTGCGTGACTACTGCTTCTATTCTATTATGAAAGATGACTTGACAGGTCATTCATAAATAAATAGATGTGCGATAGGACACAGTTTAGAAGTGGGAAAGTGTTAGGAACCTCCACTAGTGCAACAGAGAGCCAGAATTATAATACTATCCTAAAGGGCCAATTCGCTGCTTTCACCCAATTCAAAGGCTTGACCATAGTCCCTCCTTGTTCTTTCCAGCCCTTTTTGTCTTCTTCCTTATATTTTCCTCCTCTCCACGCCCTGTCCTTCTCCTCCAGCAACAAGGGCTAGTCCCTAACCCTATATTATTGGGCCTAGAACCCTTTTATTTTACAATATTAAAAGATGTAGTATTATTCTTATTATGACTTAGGAGGAGTGTCCATGTCCCTATCATCACTCCCCCCTTAACTACCACTTTGTCCTCAAGGTGGGTAATAAGAAACAACTCTGACATTTGGTTTCAGCTGATTATCTCCTACATCCAGTTCAGGCTGCTGATCACTTGTTCTCTTCTCTTCTTTTGTGCTCTTTCATCAAGACAAATTGATAATGTTTCATTCCACAAACATGCTCTTTGCCCCATTTGTTTCTACATTTGAAGCATAGGCCATTTTTACTTTTTCCTTCTAACTCTGCTTGTGTCAACCTTTGGCCTCCCTCCCATGTCTTATTCGGTTTTGGTGATTCCTTCAGTTTGTTCTCTGAAGGTGTTCTCTCAAGAGTTTGTGACTGAATAACGGGTTTTCTACCCTTCACTTCTTTCACCTAGTTCAAAGGCGTGACCATAGTCCCTCCTTGTTCTTTCCAGCCCATTTTGTCTTATTCCTTATATTTTCCTCCTCTCGATGCCTTATTCTTCTCTTCCAGCAACAAAGCCTTGTCCATTACCTCAGTAAAGATCGAGAGTGAAACAGTTTGAGTTCAGCTCTGAATTCCTCCTTAAGTCCATTTATGGATATCCCCTTCAACATCTCCGGATTCGTATTTCTCTGAGGTGCGACCACCAATTCAAAGTTTTCCCTATATTCCATCGTGCTTCCTGTTTGTTTGACACTTAAAAAGGGTTCGAACGGGTTATGCACCAGTTCCGACTGAAACCGATGGATCAAAGTTTCCTTAAACTCTTCTCAACTGAGCTCAGTAACTTGTTCTTCCCACCACTGAAACAAGTTTAGTGCTCGACCCTCCATTGCCACCATAACAAGTGGAACTCTGTCCTCATCAGTAATATTGTTCAATTTTTAAAAACCTTTTAGCTCGAATTATCCAACCATACGCTTCATCTCCACAGAATACTGGTAAATCTATCTTCCTATTTGTTTTCATTAACACTTGGTTATTCACATTCTCACGTATGGCAAATGAGGATCTAGATCAATCTGACTTACCTCCTGAAGCTGAGGAGATCCGACTAGCTTTGTGCTCCTTCCGCCTAGGTGTTCATGATCTCCCTCGAGATCGATGGTGTTTCTAATGCATTACCAAGTTCCGTAGCTCCTCCATGTATCGATCCTGGTTCAACATCCAATTTCGCATCTCATCCACTACCTGGTGCGGATGCTGAACCTTATTCTTCACTGTCTCTACTATGTATTCTTTTCGCGCTCTCATCCAGGTCATCTACAGGTTTCCACGAAAGCGCTCTGATACTAATGTTAGGAACCTCCACCAACGTAGCAAAGATTAATAATATATGGATGAAGATTTCAGGATTATAGTAGCAGAAATCGAAGAAAAGAGAAACAAAAATAGGTGAGATTCTTTGAGAGGTCTCACTCTCCCAATTCTCAGTTCCGACTAAACTTCTGCCTACCCTTTTCCCCTCACCCGCTCGTTAGTATAATACTATCCTTAAGGGCTGGCCCTCAACCCTAAATTATTGGGCCTAGAACCCTTTTATTTTACAATATTAATAAACTTAAGGGGTGTTTGGAAAATGGCGTTTCAGCCAAAATATGGCAGTTTGACTGCTTTCAACGTTTTCAATAAGTGAAAATGTTGTTTGGTAAATTGTTGTTCGGCCGTAGCTTTTTTGGACGGAATCGCTGAAAATGGAAACACTGCAAATAGGAGAGTTTTGGGTTAGCGTTTTGAAATATGGCGTATTGTACTAATTGATATGGCCAAATAGCTAAGTTACCAAACATCTTCTGGCAACCTGCCAACTTATTCCGCTAGTCAAACCCGGTGATTGAATTTTCTATTGACAACCCGCTGACTGAATTTGCTATTGACAACCTGCTGACACAGGCTGTGTTTGGTAATTGGCGTTTCTGCCAGAAATTGGAGGGTTTGACCAATTTAGCCGTTTGAAAGACTAGAAACGCCGTTCTTTTTACGTTTGGTAAAGAGAGGTTTTGCTCAGTGTGTTGGATGAAATCTGCCAAAACCAAATCGCTGCAACCAGGAGCGTTTACACTTTGGCGTTTTCAATTAGTTATTGGATTGCCAAACCTGTCCTCTCTTCTTCCTCTTCTTCTATTCTGTTTTCTGCTGCATATGTTGAAGGTTTGCTACCCTCTGATTCTCTGAGTCGCCGGAAGTTAGAACCTCTTTAGATGTTCTAAAACTCGCTATTGCTCTAGATTTTTGGTGTCTAATAAAGAATCGCATCTGACTCTACTTGCATCTGATTGGACTTTTGTAGTCCAAACTACGACTAACCTACGCCGCATATGCTAATGCTAATTGTTGTTTGAGTTCTAGTAACTCATTTGAAATTCGGTTAGGAATACAAATAAAACATATGATAAGGATTCAACAGAGATTGATGACAGAGAGATGGTTCATGAAATTACTAGTTTTATTTGGACTCAAATGTTCCATTCATCAATTAGATTGATATGCTTTTGTATTGAGTTAATGTGTAAGTTGAACTTTTTACCAATTCCGTAGTAATACATCAATAGCATTATTAAAAAATGAATATTAAAATTTATTCATGGCATGTCCTCATGTGTCTTTTTACCTGCTAACCGCTATAAACATATAGCCAAGTTACCAAACATTTTTTTTGCAACCCGCCAAGTTAATCCGCTGGTCAAATCCGCTATTTTCAATCCGCTAACAATATCCGCTAACCGCTAACCGCTGATTGCCAAACATGGCCATAATCCGCTATCCGCTAAACGCCAAACACGCTCTTAGTATTTTTATTAAGAGGAGTGTTCGGGTCCACATCAGAAAGGAACAAAACAAAAAGATATGTACCCTCCTAGAAGGATGTAAAATTACCTTATTCTGAAATAAGTATCCAGATTCTACCGGCAATGATCACTGGAGAACAGAACTCAAAGAGTGCTACTTTAGCTCCTCATGTCCATCTTTAAGCAATTCTACCCGATGCTTAGTAGACTAGGTGCGGCTAAGGGAAAAAGCAGAGTATACTGCTAGGCGTGCCTATTTAGCCGACACGTCGATGTCCCCTTGGACAAAAGGATCCTTGGGAAAGGCATAGATAAAATAGGCTGCCCCTACCTACAAGCATCGTAATATAGAGAGAGAAAATGTGCTATTGGCAGTAGCGGAGAAAAGTCAGTAAATAGAATAAGATTGGAAAGCATTGCCTAGGGGGAAGGAGTTGTCGCCAACTTTGATGGAATTGACTACTGAGAGTGCCTTTAGCTAACCATGATTTGAAGCAGTAGCCTTGCTTTAGGTCCATTTGCTTGAAAGCTTCCATGCCTGGAATTGATCTGGGCATGGGAGGGGGGGGGGGGGGGTTAGGATTGATGCAATGGCCTGCCCTTCTTACACAAGCACTTCTAAGAGACCACTCTTCTACTTTGAAAGCGCAAGTGGATGGTGGCTTTTAGGCGAAAGTCTGCTTGCTCAGAGAACTCACCGAGGGCGGGGGTAATGGTTGGAGAGTAGGCTTGCTTATTCCTTCTTGCCTTCTCTTCTAATCAATCCCTTGCTTCTTTCCTTTTGTAAACCAGAGCTGAGCTACCTGACCATAGTCACTCAGTCCATTTACTCCCGCCTTATTCGTTGGATGCAAGGAAAGTAGGTATGAAGGAACTTCTACATAGACTGCTTCCTGGATATCCAGATGAATATGCCTTTGTTTTCGTTGATATGGCGGTGGGACGATAAAGCTCAAATCAATTAAATACCATTCGTGCCCTACTAGGAGTGGAGTGATGGTTCAGACTTTTTGAACTTCCGGCACATCAAGGCAAGGATAGGTCTTCTTTTGCTCTGCTGTTGTTATTCATCCTCCAATCCCATGGGGTCATCCAAGCTAACTTCACTTCTTTCCTAATCAGATTCTAGGGCGTTAGGATGCCCCCCGTGGGGTCATCAATACAGAATTTCTAACAATAGACAGGGTAGACGAAGCTCTTAGTCTAACAAAATATGTCTACTCTCTTATCTTATGACTTTTTTTTTTCTTTTCCGTTTGATGCCTGAAACGGGAGAAAGGGAAGTGACAAGATAATAGAAATGGAGTCCATCATGAGATGACCCTTTCTTCCCCTACCTTTTGATGTACTTCACTTCGAGAAGCCTTGGCTTGTGTACAGGTTGGAGAAGAATAACCTGAAACGCACGGAAACGCAGGGGTGGGGAGTTTCCCCGTTCCGGAAACGTTCGAACGTTTCCGAGCGCAGGAAACGCGCGATACGCGGATCTGGGCCGTTTCCCAATTTTGTAAATTTTGGAAACGCGTTTCCAAAAATTTAAACGCATATCCGATCAATTTTAGGGCCTGCTCAAACGGAACAATCAAACCTTTCATCGTCCGCTCTTCGTTCTTCAACCCTAAGGCCTACGAGTACGCAGTCTTCCTTCCATCCGCAGTCCGCAGAGTTCACCGGCTTCTCCAAAGGGCAAAGCCGCAAAGGTCGTCCACTCGTCCGCAAGTTTCCGTTCAGGTATTTCAGAGCACTGGTTTAGGTTTTTCATCCTCCCCATCCTTCGTAAAGATGAAACGCACGCTTAGTGGGCACTGGGCAGTGAGTTCATGTAGTCAATGACTACATAGAGCTGAATTGATTTAAAAGAAATTACTACAATTCTTGTGAATGAAGCAAATCTGTATATTTTTTCTGGTTTTATTAAAACCAGCCGTTTTATCTATTGGATATTGTAGTGGCTAATGAATTTATGCCTTTTTCCTTCGTAATGGGCTAATGGCAGCTTTTTTAATTGATTAAATTTGAATTGTTAAATGTTGTATAATTCAATTTAATTAGTTTTTGTATATGCAATTAAGTTTTTAATTAGATTAATTCAATTTGATTAAATTTTGATTAACTTAGTGGCATGTTTGTACATATATGTGTGTGTCAATATACACACACACACACATATAAAAAATTTCACAAATATATATATATATATAATATTTATAAAGTAACCCCTATATTTTTAATATTTGCGCGTTTCCCCCGCGTTTCGTGTCCTGTATTTTTGGTAAATGGTGTTTCCGACGTTTCCCGTTTCCCGTTTCCGTGCTACTTAGAGAATAACAGCAGCAGAGCAAAAGAAGACATAACCTTGGTTGGAAATAGCTGCTCATGAACTGCCCTGCTCGAAGGGTTGTAGCCCGAACTGAACTAGCTGCAGAGGATAAGTTTGACTTCCGAGAGCTGATCTTAGCTTGGACTGATCTTTGACCCGGCGAAAGGATACATAGGTTTTTCTTCCTTCTTCTAAATGGGATCCTCCTCACCGGAAAGTTCCTCACTTCCTCATTCCTCAATTTGGCTGGAAGGCGCCTTAAGGCAACTTACAACAGTACAAGTCCAGAACAATCAGACTGACCTACATCCTCTGATCTAAGATTTAGCAGCTAGGAATCACGCAACTGAGAAAGAAGCGAAAGAGCTCGAAAAACAAGAAACGGAAGCACACATCGGAACAATCACAAAAGGGGGATTCCTCGGGTATTTATAAGGACGGACCACATACCAACCACTCCTTTTTGGAATGGAAAGAAGAAAGTATGGTCGTAGATCACTGATGTCGAATTCACGGATAAAATCATATGAAAGAATCGTCAGATTACGGGTTCTCAGAGTAGACGGTTATGAATGGAGAATGAATGAAATAGAATAGTGCAGTGGAATCGTATGACATAGAAAGTGCAAAGCCCCCCACTTGTCGGGGTTACTGGGCTGGCTAACCTTACTATGAATTTCTATCAACGTCGGGATAGACAGAGGTCTAGGATAGTACGCTGTCGGAGTGAGACCTGGCAACGAAGTGAGTTAGAATAGATAGCAGTTCACGACTCAATTCCTCTAGAAGAAAGGAGAGAGAAAGAACAACCAATTCTATGAAAAAATATCTTATTTACTAGGATAGGTTGCTACTAATCTGGGTTATCTAAGAGATAGAGCCATTAGGGGAGAAAACCTAGTTCTTGCACGAAATGTTCTGCTAACATAGGAGCACTCCTACTCAAAAATGGAAGAGCTAAGTTCTTTCTTTCGGGTCAAAGGGTTATGTTATTAGAAAATAAGTTATGGACTCGGATATGATGCTGCTTCTTCAAATGATAATGAGAGTTCCTTGGTTAATATATGAATTAGTGGACATATACAAGAATGACCCATTTTTTTACATAAGCATTTCTGTACTCCTATCGGTAAGTATGGAGGTCTTTCCGAACCTATTTAGACAGTGTTGTTGTTGTTTGTTAGATAATTTGTTTAACTAACTCGTTATGTATGATTATATAAGATGTGAGGTGTTGTTATTGACCTAGAAATGCTCTCTGGAATCCAATCTACCCGGCGATTTTGTCCAGATAAATGTGAAGATAGATGAAATGCCCAATTTGTTTTTGCAAATCAATCACAAGCAATTGCCTGGTTCTTGATGGAAGCATTCTTAATAAAGTAAACATGTTTTTCATCGACAGTACAATATATCTGAGAAATACTTCTTTATTTTAATTTTAACATTTTATGCACATATATCAGGTATGTCCTACAGGTTTGACAACACCTTTAGTATATACCATCTTCATCTTTCCATGAGAGATAAGGTTCCTTAATTTTGGCCATTGTGGTGGTAATAACTCAAAGTGCAGTAGGGTTTGGAACATGGATGTAGCAGTGCATTAGAGTGGATGTTATCATATACGTGTATAGCTCGAGGCGGTGTAGCCTTATATACTCCAGAGTGACTATTGGATGGTCAAATTCTTTGCATTCTGCTAGACTCTTACACATCTTTGTTATTGTGTAGGTGCAAGAACAGAAATGCAGTTGGTTGAGGAATCCTCCTTTGGTCTGTGCTCATGGCGGGGATTCTTCAATGGCTTTTCCAAACACAGTAAGCATTTTCATGTCATAGGTTGGATTCCATCAGGCTTTAGGCTCTCAAAGTCATATCCTCACATCCCAAATTCTTAATACCAACTATCCTTTGCTGAGTTTGTCAGCATTTAAGTCACATAAATGAATCTACTCCTTTTTTATTTATGGTTTTCTATCTTCTCTAGAATTCAAATTAATAAAAGGAAAAATTGACAATAATAATCCCACCTTTGACCGTTCTTCTCATAATAATCCCACCTTTACGTAATCCCAAAATAATCCCACCTTTGCTACCCATCTTCTCTCATTGGACCCTGTCCGGTTCATGACCTACTATATCATTTTTATTTGTTTTTGCTTCGGAAAGCTTACATAATAATTCCACCTTTCACAAATCTGCTCAAAACAGTCCCATGTTTCATATTTTTCTTTTTTCACCCTAAAATTTTTCTTTCTTTATTTTTATCCCTAAACAATTTTTTACTTTTTTATCCTTTTGTTTTTTATTTCTTTTCCATATTTATTATTCTATTTTTTGTTAGTGTTCATCCAAAGACTCGTTATTTTTTGGCTTGGGAATATGATGCAATAAAGTGTTAAGTGCGTGAGCAAATTGTCTCACTAAACTGACTGCGCATCTTTGTTATGAAGCAACAGTCCGTGCAATTTTCGATGCGAATTTCACTATGGATCATTCGGAAACAGTCTGTCTGTGCTTTAGTACAGGGGTAAGATTGTGTACATCTGCTCCCCTTACCCCATCGTAGGTGGGAGCCTTTGCGGCACTGGGGTAACGATGATGATGAAATGATGATAATGATTTATTATTATATTTCTCACTTTATTAAGAGAGTTTTGTTGAAAATTTCCTTTCCGGACAGTTTTTTTGTCATTTTGTTCTTCCCGTACTTTTATTTCATTCCCTTTTTATGTGTTTCTCTTCTTAATCATTCTCTTTTTATTAAAGATCTTTTCCACTTTATTTTTTGTTATATTTTCTTTTTATTTTCACTTTTCCCCTATTTTCTTCTTATTACTTTTTTTGTGTTTCTTCTTCTTTTCTTTCTTCTTGTTACTTGAATTCCACCAGCTAGGCATGGCAATGGGTCGGGACGGGCCGGGCTGGGTAATGCAAAACCCAGACCCGCCCCGTTTTATTAACCCATAGACCCGACCTGCCCCGTGACCCGGAACGGGTCAGCACATGGCGACCCGTGACTTGCCCCGTGTGGGCCGGGTCCGCCTCGCTCGCCCCGGCCTACTTGATCCTAGGATGTATTTATTTAATTTACAAAAAGCTACTAAATCTAAGAAAATGTGATCAGAACACTTGGTGATGGTTGTTTCATCAACCAACCACCCAATCATAAATGATTAAGCAAAATCATCATATATAATAAAACGGCTAAAACCAGATAACTTAGAAGTTAAATTTCAGAACATGCAAATAACACATCAGAGACACAAAGTCCCCAAACAATAGTTTGAAACAGCCATAGGTTCACAAAACAAAAAATCATGAAAGACAGAAAAGTAAAAGATCCAAGCCTGTCCAACAAAGACACCTAAAATAATAGTAACAAAACATTTGCTTCTAGAAATCATTAGGATTTCAATTCTTCAGTTCAGTCCAGCAAGGTTCTTCAATTTGGTACTGATATTCCATATCTCCGTTCTCATTAACCCTACAAAAATATATAGATAAAACTTTAGACCAACTAAGCTTATTATTAATGTGGGTCAGGTCACATGGAGCTTAAACCAAAACCCAGTCATTCATTGAATTATTAACACGATAGAAGCTATTGTTAGAAATATGTGCTTGGTGTGTAAAATATCATTTATTCAATATTAGCATGATCTGATAAAGAATATCACAAGGCAACTGCAATTTCCTGATCTCTTCCTATAATGTTCTATTTTAGTTAAGAAAATGGCATCCATGCCACTTACCATGTTCAGTGTATCTTTTGTGTTCCTTTTGTTGCATCTTTGGTAATGTTTACGCAAATGACTCGTTCCTTGCTTTGGATCACCCAACAAAAGTGTCCGGCAATATTTGCACCTTGCTTTGAGCTTTTCACTGTCTCTCTCATAATGCACCCAAATATTTGACTTTAGAACTTTCAGTTTTGCACCATCAGTTTCAGCTTCTACTATCTCTTCACCATCAAAATTAAGATGCTCACCATCAGCCTCCATTGATAAAAGATCTACAGAAATAATTAAATTTTAAATCAGGTTAAAGTTCTAAAAAAATTGTTCATTTTCATCTAAAATAATGAAATTGATGAATTATGTGGTCTCATGAATATTTTGCAGAAATAATATACTAAACCAGTCTTGTTCATTTGCTTAACCAGTTAACGTCATATTTATAAGAATCATATTTATAAGAAAAGATAAATAATGAAGGTCATAACTCAAATACAGATGGTTAACCAACAATAATCCCTCATGGAAGGTTTCTTAGCTTTTTATTCCTGAAATCTCCACAGAAGAGCTCTTCTAATAAAACAATCTCTAGTACCACACACAGGAAATGAAGTTTTCTAAATAAAAAGGGAGTTGATATCTTAAATTGAGATTAAGATTATTTTAATTTCTAATTGAGAGTTATACTCCTCAAATTGAGAATTTCAATTACACATCTACAAATAAGAATGGACCGGCATACTTACATACACCCCTAATTTCAATTACTGAGATTTAAAAATAAGAATCAAACATGGAAAAAACCCTAATTGAGAATTGAGATTATTAAACAAGAACTAAACAAATCACATTTTTGTTAAATTTACTTACTGTGATTGAGGAAATTAGAAAATCTTGTTGCAGACTTGGAGTGCAGAGTGCTACGGTGCTGCCTGTTGCCGGTAGATTTTGCAGAACAGTGTTGCGGTGCTGCAGCCCCTTAGTCCCTCGCTGGAGTACTGCCTGTGCGAAAGAAGTCCATCTCTTTGAGTCTTTGGGGGACTTTAATTGATATGTGCATGACCTTTGGTGTCTCCTATGGAGTATGGACGGACTCTTTAGTCTTTAAGACGAGGAAAAGAAGCGGCCGGACTTTTGGTTTCTACTAGGTCGGGCTATTTAGTTGAGGAACAGAAGCCGAAAAGACAAATAGTGAAGAAGCCAAGAACTATACATAGTTTATTTAGTGGTTTCTACTAGGTCGGGGCAGGGCGGGGCAACGCGGGGCATGACTAATACCCAAACCCGGCCTGAACTAAGTGTGGGGCGGGGGGACCCGATCCGTTCGATTCGCGGGGCGGACCCGTTTAAAACGGGCCAGGGCAGGGCGGGGCAGCTCGGGGCGGTTTTTTTGCCATTCCTACCACCGGCAATATATTTTTTCTCCTTTCTGCATAATCGTATTTTCTAAGTAAGTCCACTCATAAATTTCATCAACTATATAGAGAAATCTTTTTGATAAAAAGATTAGGGAAAAATAAAATTTAAATAAAAATAAAACAAGAATGAGTGATGTGAGAAATTTAATATTTAAGAAAGAAAAAATACACATACCATTTACACGAAGAGGAGTAGATGTGAGAAACGTTATTTGAAAAGGGGAAAAAATAAGAAGAAATCATCACTATTCACTAACATGCCAAAAATAAGCAAAAAAGGATGAGATGAAAAGGGACAAAGAAAAAACAAATACTTTTTAGGAAGGTGAAAAGGGAAAAAAGAAGAAAAATTAAAGGAGAATTTATAGAAAAGAAAAATTGAAATAAATTACGAGTAAATAAAAACGAGTAATGTGGGATAATAGTCTTTAAAAAAAAATTAACAGAATAGTAATACATAGGGAATAAATGAAAATGAGGAAGGGGAAGAAAGAAAAAAACTATTGAGAAAAAGGAAAGAAAAAACATAAAAAAATTAAATACAACAACAAACAACAACATCCAAGCCTTAATCCCAAAAGAATTTGGGGCCGGCTAACATGAATGATCAATGATATCGATGCCAAACAGACAAGACAGACAAGAAAGGGAAGAAAAAAGTAAGATAAAACGAATAAAATATAGATAAATAAATATAAGATAACAATAACACAAGAATATAAGAAATAAAAAAAGATAAAAAAAGAGCATAAAAAGCTAGAATATAAAATTAACATAAGAATATACAAAGATATAAAAGATAAACGAAATCGTCCACACGGATGTGCGCCCTCCACTTTGCTCTCTCCAAAGCATTACTCTCATCCAATTCAAGAAGACGCATATCAGTTCTGATTCCTCTAATACAAGTCTGTTTGGGTCTTCCCCCCCCTCTTCTCTGCCTCTTCTCCCCACCCCTCAAGTCGTCTAACAGGTGCATCACTCGGTCTTCTACGCACATGCCCAAACCACCGCAAACGAGACTCCTGCATCTTATCTTTTATAGGTGCTACTCCCACCTTTTGTCTGATTATCTCATTCCTCAAACGGTCTTTTCTGGTATGTCCACAAATCCAACGCAACATACGCATCTCTGCCACACTCATCTTTTGAATGGCATTGCTTCACCGCCCAACACTCTACGCCATACATTAAAGCAGACCTAATTGTTGTTCGATAAAATTTACCCTTCAGTCTAGTCGGCATACCTCGATCGCATAGAAATCCTGAAGCACTCTTTCATTTCATCCACCCAACTCTGATTCTATGGCATACATCTCCATCTAATTTACCATTCTTCTGAATTATGGAACCCAAGTAACAGAACGTATCACACACCAGTATCTCCTTACCATCAAGAGTAATCCCACTGTTGATACTACTTCTACCTCCACCAAACTTGCACTCCATATACTCAGTCTTACTTCGGCTCAGTCTGAAACCCTTGGTCTCCAATGTTTGTCGCCATACTTTCAACTTTGCTTTAACACCGGATTGTGTCTCATAAATCAATACATTATCGTCGGCAAACATCATGCACCACGGTATATCTTCTTGGATTGATTTCGTAAGTTCATCCATGACTATGGCAAATAAGAAAGGACTCAGAGCAGATCCTTGGTGCACTCCGATAGTAATAGGGAACTCTGCGGTCCTCCCTACACTAGTGCGGACACTTGTAGTACAAGCATCATACATATCCATGATGATACTGATATACTTACTTGATATTCCTTTTCTAGTTAAGGCCCACCACGAGACTTCTCGAGGTACCCTATCATATGCCTATCTACGTCAATGAACACCAAATGCAGATCCTTTTTAGTGTCTCTACACTTCTCCATAACTTGTCTAAGAAAGTGAATGGCCTCACTTGTTGAGCGTCTAGGCATAAAACCAAATTGATTCTCCGAAATTTTCACACTTTTACGAAGTCTTTGCTCAATCACTCGCTCCCAAAGTTTCATGGTGTGACTCATAAGCTTAATCCCTCGATAGTTAGCACATTCTTGTACATCACCCTTATTTTTAAATAAGGGAATGAGAGTACTCTTCCACCAACATAAAAAAATTAAATAAATGAAATAATAAGAAGATGAAAAAAAGAAAGAAAAAATGAAACGTGAGACTGCTTTGAATAGATATGTGAAAAGTGGGATTATTTATATAAGGTTTCCAAAGAAAAGACAAAAAACCTGGTACAGTAGATCATCAAGTAGTTAGGATCCAACGAAAGAATATGATGTGCAAAGGTGAGATTATCCTGTGATTACGTAAATGTGGTGTTATTATGAGAAGACCGGTCAAAGGTGGGATTATTATTGTCATTTTTTCCTTACTAAAATGATCTTATTGGATAAACTAAAGGCTTTCATTCAATTGATCAGGAGTCAAAATGAGAAATGTACTGCATAGTAAAGATTACAACAATATTTATTTATAGCTATAACTAGGGTATTTCTAGGGCTGACTACATAAAGTGGGCTGAGCCCACTAAGCAAGGGTTTATGGTTTCAACAACTCTATTCCATAAAGCTACATAGAATAACTATTATTCCATAAGATGTGAATTCTTGTAAGATGGGACATGCCTTTGCTTCTTTAATTCTTACCACTTTAAGGAATAGAAGGATAATTTCTCATATATCACAATGACGGCCACAACCACTATTGTTGTACTCCATGATGGGCTTTTGGTGATTCTTACATTCTTCTTTTGACAGATAACTGCATACAAGACTGCTCTACACTCTCAGGTGGACTGTATTGAAGTTGATGTTTCGCGTTCATCTGATGGAGTTCTGTTTGCTCTTCATGACAGGTATGTGGTTTTGTCTCACAAAATATGTATTTTCATTTCACATGCTTGCAAATAATAAGCTGTTAGATCTATACATTAATTCTGGTAATTCTAGAATGAGAACAAGGAAGCAATCTGTAATTTTATTACTGATAAACAAGAACAATACAATGGCCGAAGCCCCCTAATGAGCCGAAGCCCCCAAAAGAGAGAATAAACTCAATCTTTCCAATAACGACTAAAACGTCAAACAGCATACCCGTCCTTCTCCCTCCTTATTCTATTTATACTACAATACTACACTCTTTGTTATTCTTTGTATTAATAGCCTAATGGGCCTTGTTCTTATCATTATTAGCCTAATGGGCCTATTCCTATCAATACTCCCCCTAAACATCCACCTTGCCCTCAAGGTGGGTAATAAGAAACAACCAAGATTCTCTGTTTTTTCTTCTGCTTTGTGCTTCTCCCTTCCCAATATTTGACTGATTCCTGGCTCTTTAACTTGGTTACTTTCACCTTTTTCCACTTGCACTTCACAACAGAATTACCCCTTGGGTGTCTTTGTTTATGCTGGAGTTGAGTTTTACTAATTACCATGTGAAAGACATTATAGAATATTCTTTAGAATATGTTTTAGAATATTCCTCTATCTTCAGAATATGCTTTAGAATATTTTAGGAATATACTCTAGGATATTATTATTGTATAGAATCTTAAAGGAATATTCTATCTTTGTAATGTATATATATATGGGCTTGACCCTCCAATGAAAGACACACAAAAATCATTCTTCTCATTACTATTCTATCTTTAATTCTTACAACATGGTATCAGAGCAATCTGTTCCAGTTCAACTTAGCAGTATTTTTCAGAATCTCAGTTCATGCCTCAGCCAGAACCTTAGCCCAAAATTCAGAACCTCAGTCCAAAATCCACAGTTTCACAGAGCATCACCTCCACCCTAAGCAGTCACGCCTTCCGCCGCCGACCTTACACTCGAAATCTGCAGGCCACACGTGCCGTCAGAGGACCTCGCAGACCTAATCGCAAACTCAATCGCCGGAGAATCCATCAGAACTATTTTCAGGTGTCTTGAACGGTATTATCTTTCTGTGACTTTGCTTATTTAAGTAACGACGACATTCAAGGATAGTATTTTGGTCGCTGTAAGTTTACTTAATACATAGCATCTTATTTCTGCAATTAAAAAAAAGTCAAAAAAAAAAAACAAAAAAAAAGTCAAAAAAAAAAATGCCTGGTTCTGATACAGACACTTCCACCGTACAACATGCTCAGCCTTTGGTAGTTTCCGAAGTTATTCCCATTAATTTTAAAATTACTGAGAATAAACTTTGTGGCTCTAACTATCTTGAATGGAGTAAAACTATCACACGTTATTTACGAAGCATTGATAAATACACCCACTTAGTTGATGACCCGCCAAAGGAGGAGATTGATAGAGTTGCTAATGCTGTCTGGCTTCGTGATGATTCTAGATTATTTATCCAGATTCAGAACTCCATGGAGAATGACGTCATGGGGTATGTTAGTCATTGTGATACTGTGAAAGAACTCTTTGATTATTTGGAATTTATGTATTCTGGCAAAGGTAATCTTAACCACATCTATGAGGTGTGCAAAGCCTTTTACAGGGCAGAAATGAAAGATAAGTCTCTCACAACTTATTTTATGGATTTCAAGAAAACGTATGAAGAACTTAATACCTTAATGCCCTTTAGTCCTGATATCAAAGTGCAGCAGAAACAACGCGAACAAATGGCAGTCATGAGCTTTTTGGCCGGTCTTACGTCTGATTTTGAAACAACCAAATCACATATCCTATCTAGTGATGTGGTCTCTTCTCTTCAAGATGCTTTCAGTAGAGTGCTTCGCACTCACACTTCATCCACATCATCGGCACCTTAGCCAAGCAATGTTTTTGTAGGGCAAGTCCCAACATTCCCCAATGGAGGTGAGAAGTGGCCACGCACAGGACCGATTGACAAAGGAGTAGTATGCAACTACTGTAAGAAACCCGGGCACTTGATCAAAGATTGTCGAAAGCTAAAGTTCAAAAATCAAGGAAATCAAGTCGCTCACATTGCTTCCGCTACACATCCGTCTAATGGATCCATCATTATGTCTTCAGAGGAATATGCTAAATTCCTACCAGGAGGCTCTAAAGCATTCATCTACTCCTATCTCAGCTGTAGCTAATTCAGGTAATCCAAACACATGTCTTGTATCTTCATCCTCAAAATGGGTTATCGATTCAGGAGCAACAGATCATATGACAGGTAATCCTAGTCTTTTTTCCTCATTCCACACACCTCTTCATACTTCTAGTGTGACTTTGGCTGACGGATCTACGTCACCCGTTCTTGGTACGGGTACAATTGTCCCAACATCTACCTTACCTTTGTCACCTGTCCTAAGTCTTCCAAATTTTGCTTTCAATTTAATTTCGATCAGCAAAATCACACGTAAACTTAATTGTTCTGTAACCTTTTTTCCTGGATATTGTGTATTTCAGGATCTGTTGACGAATCAGGTTATTGGTAAAGGATATGAGTCGGCCGGTCTCTATCTCTTGGATACATCCTTACCCAAATCAATCTCTTGTCTTGGCATTGGAACTGTGTTAGAGGCTCACTATCGACTAGGTCACCCTTCTCTTCCGTTGTTAAAGAAGCTTTATCCTCAATTCAATAAGGTGTCATCTTTACAATGTGATTCGTGTCAATTTGCAAAAGATCATCGAAGTAGTCTAAGTCCTCGAGTCAATAAACGAGCACATGCTCCTTTTGAACTGGTTCATTCTGATGTTTAGGGTGCTTGCCCTGTTGTGTCCAAATCCGGTTTTAAATATTTTGTTACCTTTGTTGATGATTATTCTCGTATGACTTGGATTTATTTCATGAAACGTCGTTCCGAGTTATTTTCTCATTTTTGTGCCTTTTGTGCTGAAATCAAAACTCAATTTAATGTACATGTTCGTATTTTAAGGGGAGATAATGCTCAAGAGTATTTGTCTGCCTCATTTAAGTTGTATATGGCTCAACATGCCATAATTCATCAAACTTCATGTGTAGACACACCTCCCCAAAATGGAGTTGCTGAACGAAAGAACAGACATCTATTAGAAACTGTGCGGGCTCTTCTATTCCAAATGAATGTGCCAAAACATTTTTGGGCAGATGCTGTGTCTACCGCATGTTTTTTGATCAATCAAATGCCATCTACTGTTTTAGATGGTAAAACTTCATATCAGTGCCTATTTCCAAATAATGAAAATTTTCCTATTCCTCCTAAAGTTTTTGGTTGCACTTGTTTTGTACGAGATGTTAATCCCCATTTAACAAAGTTAGATCCCAAGTCATTAAAGTGCATTTTCTTAGGCTACTCTCGAGTTCAAAAGGGGTACAAATGTTTTTCTCCAAGTACAGGTCGGTATATTGTTTCAATTGATGTCTCCTTTTATGAAAATACACCATTTTCATCAACAGACACACACAAATATCTGTAGGGAGAATGATGATATACTCATTTACACAGTCACTATACCCGAGTCCAATACTTCACCATTTCTTCCCCATGTTACTTTTCCTGAGCCTAGGCCTCCGATACACTTGGTATACACCCGTCGACACAAAGTGCAAGATCACCCTCCACCTGTGGTTACTTCTCCTGATACTGATCCGATCTCATATCCTGAACCCACACCTGCATCTTTAGATCCTGTCTCTACATCAGATCTTGATCTCCCCATCGCACTACGTAAAGGTACACGGTCTTGTACTCATCCTATTTCTTCATGTGTGTCGTATAATCAGTTATCATCTGCCTCTTGTTCTTTTATTGCTTCCATTGATTCTATTTCTGTTCCCAAATCTGTTAAAGATGCTTTGTCTCATCCTGATTGGCGTCATGCCATGGTAGAGGAAATGGATGCTTTGGATCTTAATGGTACCTGGGATTTGGTAGACTTGCCTACAGGGAAGAAGTCTATAGGATGTAAGTGGGTCTTTGCTGTAAAGGTTAACCCTGATGGATCCGTTGCTCGGTTGAAAGCCCGATTAGTTGCGAAGGGTTATGCTCAAACCTATGGCGTTGATTATTCTGACACATTTTCTCCTGTTGCTAAATTAACATCTGTCAGATTACTTATTTCTCTCGCAACAACTCATGGTTGGCACTTACATCAATTGGACATTAAGAATGCATTCTTGCATGGTGATCTTCAGGAGGAAGTTTATATTGAGCAACCTCCGGGGTTTGTTGCTCAGGGGGAGTATGGGAAAGTTTGTCGACTTCGCAAGTCTCTTTATGGTTTGAAACAGAGTCCCCGTGCATGGTTCGGGAAATTCAGCCAATCAATTGAACGATTTGGGATGATAAAAGGCAAATCAGATCACTCTGTATTTTACAGACGAACGAAAACAGGTATTACATTGCTTGTGGTGTATGTCGATGACATTGTGATTACAGGGAGTGATAATACAGGTATTTTGGCCCTAAAGAATTTTCTTCATAGTCAATTCCAGACGAAAGATTTGGGCTCATTGAAATACTTCTTGGGAATTGAGGTTACACGGAGTAAGAAAGGCATATTTCTATCTCAACGTAAATATGTGCTTAACTTACTAACTGAAACAGGGAAATTGGGGGCAAAACCAAGCAGTAATCCCATGATTCCCAATGTACAACACACTCATGAAGGTATGCCATTTGAAGATCCGGAAAGATATAAACGGTTGGTTGGAAAACTTAATTATCTCGCAGTTACCCGTCCAGATATTGCATACTCAGTGAGTGTAGTAAGTCAATACATGTCATCTCCGACAGTTGATCATTGGAATGCTGTAGAGCATATATTATGTTACTTGAAGGGGACACCGGGACGAGGTATTGTTTATCAGAATCATAATCACATGAGAATAGAATGCTTTGCAGATGCTGATTGGGTTGGATCTAAAGATGATAGAAGATCCACATCTGGCTATTGCGTCTTTGTTGGTGGTAATCTCGTCTCTTGGAAAAGTAAGAAGCAGAATGTGGTTTCTCGTTCGAGTGCTGAATCAGAATATCGGGCTATGGCACAATCGGCATGTGAGATAATCTGGATAAACCATTTATTGAGTGAAATGGGATTGAAGACACCAATGCCTGCTAAACTCTGGTGTGATAACCAAGCTGCTATACACATTGCCAACAATCCAGTGTTTCATGAGAGAACAAAACATATTGAGATCGATTGTCACTTTGTTCGAGAAAAGATACAACAAGGATTGATCTCTACAGGATATGTGAAGACTGGAGAGCAACTTGGAGATTTGTTCACTAAAGCACTAAATGGAATTCGTGTTGGTTACTTATGTAACAAGTTGGGCATGATAAATATTTATGCTCCAACTTAAGGAGGAGTGTGAAAGACATTATAGAATATTCTTTAGAATATGTTTTAGAATATTCTTCTATCTTTAGAATATGCTTTAGAATATTTTAGGAATATACTCTAGGATATTATTATTGTATATAATCTTAAAGGAATATTCTATCTTTTTAATGTGTATATATATGGGCTTGACCCTCCAAGTCCTGTTGAAAGCGTTTTGTCAAATCTCTTGTGAAACTCTCCCAGTTCTGATGGCAAGCTTGGCCTTCCCACCATTGAAACCAACTCAAGGCTTGATCCTCCATCGCTATCACTGCCACATCAATCTTGTGTTCCTCCTCAGTATTGTTCAAACGAAAATACCTATTCATCCTTACTAACCATCCAAAGGCGTCATCTCCATTGAAAATTGGTAAATCAATCTTCCGACCTGCCGGATTATGATACCTGGGACTTCGGTGATGCAGAAGGATGAGAGGAACCGTCCGAAACTTCCGAACTATCATCGTTCCTTGAACGTCGGTGATGCGATGTGCGATGTGAAGTGCTCGATCGATGTGAGTGACTCCTTGATCGAGCTGATATTTTGTTCTGTAATTCTGCCAAATCTGCCGAATCGCCGCCATACTTTCTGAATCGCCGCCATCCAAAGGCGTCATCTCCATTGCATCGTTGCTTGCATGGAAGCTTGCATCGCCGCCATACTTTCTGCCAAATCTGCCGTCATATTGTGTTGCATCTCTTTCAGATTCCTTTCCATACTGGCTTGCATCTCCCGTTGATTCCGTTCAATCTCCGTCATGCGTCCTTCCATCTTAGCACACGTCAAGATCATCCAGCGATCGACGTTGCTCTGATACCAATGTTAGATCTATACAGTAATTCTGGTAATTCTAGAATGAGAACAAGGAAGCAATCTGTAATTTTATTACTGGTAAACAAGAACAATACAATGGCTGAAGCCCCCAAATGAGCCGAAGCCCCCAAAAGAGAGAGAATAAACTCAATCTTTCCAGTAACGACTAAAACGTCAAACAGCCTACCCGTCCTTCTCCCTCCTTATTCTATTTATACTACAATACTACACTCTTTGTTATTCTTTCTATTAATAGCCTAATGGGCCTTGTTCTTATCATTATTACCCTAATGGGCCTATTCCTATCATGCTTGCAAATAATAAGATGCAAATCCCTGGAAAATCTAATGAAAATATGTATTTTCATTTCACATGCTTGCAAATAATAAGCTGTTGTTAATATTTGTTTCTTAGATTTTCTGGAAAATTGATTTTGACGTTGTGCAGGCAGGGATTTGCAGCAAATATCTGGGAATGACACATTCAAGGTTGGGTACTTGAGCTCAAGAGAGGTGGGATCTAAGTTGTGCTCACCACTATTTGCTTCCATTTGAGAATTTTATCATCGCCTTTTTTGTTTAATTGCCTTGGGTATTTGCATTCAGTTTGTCAAAGGCACATTTGAATTTTCACCATCAGCATATTAGCACCTTAACCCTTAACCCCCCAACTAGTTGGGTGCTGGCATTAGATTTATAGATTTAACCAAGTGTTTAAAATTACTTAACACTTTAGATTGATGTAAAAAAGCATAATGGAAATGTTTTACGCTCCTTTCCTCTTGAAACCTTCTTACAAGAACAACATCAAAGCCTATTCCCAAAAGAGTTTGGGGTCGGTGAATAACAACATGAATCGACATATAATACAGAGTTAAAAGCAATACAGAAAGATGAAGAAAAACAATATAAGATCAATCCCTCAGACCACCACAAGCATACTCTCCTTCCGCATCACCCTCTCTAAAGTTGTACTCTCATTTAACCCAAGTAGTATCATATCATTTCATTTTTTATCACTATGATCCTCGTATGTCTAGGTTGTATCCTTCCTCTCCTCTCTCTCTCTCCCTCCTCTCCCCTCATTTCATTTCATTTAACATGTGCATCACCCGGTCTTCTACACACATGGTCAAATAATCACAATAGCGACCCACACACCTTATTTTTCCCCACTTATCGATGCATTACTTCCATTTTTTGCCTAACTATCTCATTCATCGAGCAGTCTATCCTAGTATACCGCAAGATCACTCATCCTTTGAGTAAGCCATTGTTTTATGGCTTAACACTCTATGCCATACAATAACACAAGCTTAACTATTCTTCAATAAAACTTACCATTTAGTTTAGTTGGCATACCTCGACCACACCAAATGGAGGTCTTTCTTTAGATCTCTACACTTCTTCAAATCTTCACACTTCTTCATAGCCTTTACTCAATCACTCACTCTCAAACTTCATGGTATGACTCATGAGCTTAATCTCTAGATAGTTAACACATCTTGTACATCATCTTTATTCTTGAATAAAGGGGTATAGTTCTCTTTCGCCAACTCATCAGCATTTTATTGTTTATCTAGTCGGTATTCCATATGGATCACACTTTCTTCTGCCCCATTTTTCTTAAAGTCTCTCTAACCTTTCTCTTTTGGACCCTTCTCACAAAACTCTGATTTACCACACAATCCGATTAATAAGATTACCAATATCTTACACTTGATTCCCATTGAACAATGTATTAAAGTAAGTTATCCACATCTCTTTTATTTCCTCATGTTCCATTAAAATACCCCTTTGATCGACCTTCTTCACACACCTAACTTTACCTATATATTGAGTACTATGATCTCGAAGACGAGCGAGTCTAAATATATTTTTCTCCTCCTTTTGAATTCAATTTTTTCCAGTGGAGCCAAAGACTCACTATTTTTTGACTTGGGAATATGACGGAATAAAGAAAAATGGCGCACTAAACTGTCTCTGCTTCTTTATGATGAAACAGCATCCAGTCCATGCAATTTTCGACGCAATTTTCATCATGGGTCATCCAGAAACAGTCTTTCTGTGCTTTAGTGCAAGGGTAAAGCTGTGTTCATCCGACCCCCCTTATGCCACCGTAAGTGGGAGCCTTTGCAGCATTGGGGTAATGTTGTTGTTGTTTTGAATCCAATTTTCATATAACACCTTGTTCACTTTCTCTCTTGCTTCCTTCATTGCTCTCTTATCTTTTTCTTCTCTTCTCTAGATTTTTGTAGCATTTCCATTGGTTTATTATGATTTGTTTCACTTCCTCATTTCACTAAGATGTGTGTTTTTTGTGGTAAACATCCTTTAGATCTTTCAAGTATCTCTTTTTTGGCACTTTGTTAATGGTTTGCTTCTTTTACATCATTTCCAAGGGAGCCAAAGATTCACTATTTTTTGTCTTGGGAATATGATTGAATAAAGCAAAATGACTCACTAAACTGTTTGTACTTCTTTGTTATGAAGCAACAGTTAGTTTATGCAATTTTCGACGTGATTTTCATCATGAGTCATCCAGAAACAGTCTCTCAATATTTTAGTACTGGGTAAGGATGTGTACATCCGACCCCCTTACCCGATCATATGTGGGAGCCTGTGGCATTGGGGTTATGTTGTTGTTGTTAATGATCCGCTTCATTTATGAACACATGTTCCCCTCATTTGCGTTATTATCAATATCCCATACATATTCACCAAGCATCCTATGTTCGAAGCTTTGTTGGAGATCCTCCTCAACTTCAACCACTTTATCTTTGACTTCGTTCATTACTTAACCCGCATTTTACGGTCTTTTCCTTGAAATTCAAGCACCAGTTTCCTGTGTTGAGTGACTACATTTTCACCAGGGATACTTGTAGCCAGTTCTCCACTTAGTCCATTCTAAGTAGTCATTTTGGGCACTATTGGATCCACTTCCATATGTTATGTTGTAAAGTGAGAATTACTTTTCTAAAACTAAGTGTTCATAATAGTTAACTCATATATCGCGGCCATAGTTGTCATGGCGCATGACGCAACCCATGGCGCACAGGCCATTTTCCATGGCGATGGCGATGGTGCAAATATGGCGTCGCCACGTGACAAAAAAAAAACTTCAAAACGAATAATAGATACTGCAATTCATCAACCCAAGTTTACCCAACCACCAAAACATGATAAAATAGTTCAAAGTACTTCCAAAAAACATAATATTCAAAAAAAAGTTTCTGTTTTGCAAAAATAGTAGTTAGGGTTTATGTTAGTTGTGTTTATTTATTTGTAGTTAGGGTTGTTGTTAGTATTATGAGCTAAAATAGTAAGGTTTTGTTAGTGTTTTTTTTGTTAGGGTTTATGTGTGTGTGTATATATATATATATGTATGTATATGTATATATATAAAACTATATATTCATATATAGCTATATATTTATAACTATATATATAATTCTATATTGTATATAACTTAGTATTGAAACTCACAATTAATGAAAAAAATTACAAAAGAAACTCACAATTAATAATTGAAAACAAGGTTTATTAATGAGAATTAAAATTAAAAAACTAATCAAAACAAAATGTGAAGTATATCATAGAAGGTTATTTTAAAATAGAAGTATCACAGTTAAAACGCACACACAAAAACAAGGTTACAACAACAAAATTAGAAATACACAACTTAATTAATTACAATTTAAAATAAAATAAAAACTGAAGCCATAGATCAAGGACCTGGGAACTGGGAAGTCTGCAAGTTCCTCTGCTGCTCTGATTCCGCGAGGGACTGAGGGAGGGCGACTATGTGAGTTCGTCTTAGTTGTTTGCTTCCTACGTGCAACTTTGGGCAACGAATGGTCCGTAAGGTAGATTAGTTTGGGCTTAGCTTTTAATTTAAAGCCTGAAACCTTAATTAAATTAGCCCTAATTAAGGACTAAATCTATTTTATCTGGTTCTGGGCCTGCCACTGCGGTTCGACTTGTGAATAAGTCGAGGATTTCTTCGCCAACGTCGAGCCTAGACGACTACTGGACGACGCAAACGCCATGGCGATGGCGCCCAAATGGCGAAGGCGCAGGAATGGCGACGCCATGTGTATACACCTCGCCACAGCCCCTTTTCATAGCGCAGAGGGTTTTTCGCGTCACATGGCGCATGGCGCGCGCGCCATATTGCGCTATCGACTACCATGATCGCGGCAAAATTCAAATTGTTCTTTCTTGCTTCATTTATAGTGACAAAATCACGTCTGGTATGGACACTTCCAAAGCTATCACAACTCTGGCACGTGTTTGAGGGCCTGAGGCCGCCACCTAGGGGTGTAAACGAGCCGAGCCGAGCCCGAACTCACATATGCTCGAACCGGAGCTCGTAATTTTTCTAAATGCTCGAGCTCGGCTCGAGTTCAATTGAGCCTAAAATTTATAACTCGAGTTCGACTCGACATCTTTGCATCAAGATCACGAGCGGCTCGAGATCGACTCAAAAGCTTAGGCTTTTAATCGCTAACCTTGCATATGCAAGGGTAGCTTCGCATCACTTTCTGGTGTGGGAAGCAAATCTTAGAGGTTTAAAATAGTATATAGAAGCAGGTAGACTTACGAGCTAAAAAAACAGGCAAGGAGGGGATTCGAACTCGGGTTGCAAGCGTCTCCTCAAGCCTTATGGATTTCCAACTGATCTACGCGCACGGTAATGCTAGTTGTGATCTCAAACCGTTCTTAACCTTGATTTGTACGAGCTACTGAAAAAATAAATAGGTATAATTATAGATTAAATTATTACATTTAACCTTGATTATTATATGGTTATAATAATAAATAGTATTATATATAATTATTACTATTATAATATCATAAGTATTAGAAATAGAGTAATCCTAAATTAGAATTAACATTCCAAAAACATTATATATATATATATAATTATTATACACACACATATCGTGGCTCGCGAACCGGCTCGCGAGCCACGAGCCTAAAATAATTAGGCTTGACTCGAGCTTGTTAAGTATTCGAGTCGAGCTGAAAGATGCCGAACCCGAGTCGAGCTTTTTCCGAGCGATCCACGAGCGGCTCACGAACGGCTTGGCTCATTTGCACCCCTACCGCCACCTATGATGAGCTTCTCTCTCCACTTGCATAGACACTTATACTGTCATCTCTTAAGAATGAATAATCAGAGAAAGTTCTATTGTTCTAAAGCTGTCCACATCATAGATTATTTCCACTTTTATGTAAAATACCATGATTGATATTAACATTTGAAGTATACAAATACAAGCTAATAATGATAGATCTTTGCAAAAGTAAATATTGAAAGTCATGCATTTTACATACTAAATTTGTATGTTTTCTGATTTTGTCACGAGTCTAGAGTTGATTGATGCACGGGCAACACAGATTAAGGCATACTTCCCATCCTTTGAGCATCCATTTTTTCTTACTCTGACTAATTTGCTATGAATTATGAAAGTGACGTGGAATAAGGTCATTTTTAGTTTCTGGTTGTAGATTAAAGAGCTTGTACCAAGTTTTGAGCTTCAACAGAAGTATCATGATCTTGGAGTTCCTACAATTGAAGATATATTAAAGGTATCTCACCTACCTCTTTAGTTTTATTTCTGACGCCCTTCCTTCTATGGGGTTCATACAGAATGAATTACATTATTCTCTTTCTGTTTCAGTTTTTCTCTTTGTATTAGTTCTGTTTGGAGTGCAGAAACTGTTAGGTTAAGGAAATAAGGAGGAAATAAAATGAGAAAAGTAAGTTTTGTTTGAACTCAATAAATCAATTTCAAATATATTTCTATTATACCCGGTTGATGAGTCGATGACAGGTTTGACTCACCACATAAACTGGCAGATGCTTTGAGGCGCTATATAAAAAGTCACCCGGACAGAAACACTTTTCAGCCATATCTTCAAAAAGCAATCAAATTCCATAACAGATACAATAGAGCTATCTCATCATCACTCGGAATCCCCTCAAAAAACTTCAACTACTGATGTACTTTTATTTCCTCTGTATTGTTTCCTTTTTGTACCCTTTCATTTTATTTTCCTGTACTTTTTCTTTTCCTTTTGTACTCTTTAATTTTCATTTAATAAAATAGGTTGATGTTCCCTGGCACTCCCCCATCCCGTGTGGTTTACTTCCGGACAATAAAAAATACAAAGATTAAGGAATCTAAAATATGGAAAAGTTAAGTACTTTGTTCAATTTTGATTTGCCTTCGCCTTTCCAAGGTGAAACCTAACATTGAAAAACTATTTTTCTTTGGCTTTCCTCCCTTCTGCTACCACTTTCTGGGTGTTGACATAGCCTTTACTCTCTGCTTTAGAATGGAAAGGGCGAGCCCCAGCAATCCATTGCCTTGAGCCAACCATTAGGGTTCCGTTTCACTTCAAATCTTTGTCATAGCAGAACACGGCACATGCATGAAATATATTTATTTGGTTTTTTAGATCTTTCATTAATTGTAATGTTCACTGGTTTTTATGTTTTTGAATCTATCCAGTTTATATCAGGTTCAGTACGGCAAGTAATTCTAGATGTAAAAGTTGGCCCTCCTTTATATGAAAAAGGACTTGCTGGCAGTGTTGTTTCTTCTGTAAGTTTGCCGCACTTCTTTATTATTTATATTGCATATACTGCAGTACATGGTTTAGCTCTGTAAGTACTACTACTCCCTATGTCCCATGTTAACTATTCATATGATCGATCCAAATCTTTTGAACTTTTCTTTTCTATATTAAATTGCTAGCATAATTAAATTCATTTTTTGCAGTTTCAGACTACATTGATTGTTGCTTTTTATATGAAGAAAAATTGGCCGAGAGTACTCTCATATTATAGTATAAATAGTTTATCAGAAGTTAATGATCGAAGTTTACTGAAGTATGACTTAGGAAAGTCAAAATGGAGCCATCAAACTGGTACTGAGAGCAAATAACTTTGAATTACAAATGTCAAAGTAAATATTATTGCGGGAGAATTAGCTTTAACTTCAGTTCAACATCTGATAGAGAGCAAGAAGAATCTGGGGTGGGAACGGGATTGGGCTCACTTCCGTGGGCCGGTTCTGGGCTAGGGATTATAGTTTTATTTATTTATAAAATTTATCATTATGTTTTAGTTGGGCCTATTATTAGTAGAGTGGTTAGTTAAGTTAAATTGGGCTTAATTAGGGTTTAAGTAATTTGGGCTTGATTAGGGTTTCTTGTAGAAGCTATTTATACCCCTTGCTAGGGTTCATTCTGATTATCTGGGAATAAAAGTTGGTTTAGCCTTTTGGCTTTGGGCAAGGGTATTTTTATCGTTGATTATCTGGGCAACGGTTCATCCCGTTGATTTTATTTTTCTGCTACACATTAATTGGTCCGACCTGCCGGATCCCGTCCCGCCAAGATGACCAGAACTCAGAATGAACGCTTGACAGAGATGGAAAACGAGCAGAACCGAATGGGAGAGGAAGTGGCCCGACTGGGGGCTGAGCAAACCCGGATGGCACTCGAGCAGAAGCGCATGAACCAGACGCTCGAAGACCACGGTGCAAAGCTGGCGGAGATCGTCGCCTCCCTGGCAGCGCTGACGCATGCCCTTGTGCCGCCGGTGTCTCCGGAAACATCCACGGCGGCCGTCGGAAGCACAGCAGCGACCGCGCCCAGCGGCGAAGGTTTGCCACGCACCACAACTCCAACCAGCGGCGAAGGTTTGCCGCGCGCCACAACTCCAACCAGCGGCGAAGGTTTGCCGCGCATCACAACTCCGACCTTGTTGCCTGCGTTTGATGGCGCAGATCCCATCGGATGGGTGGCCAGAGCTGAGCAGCAGTTTGAACTTCATCAAACCCTACCTGGAAGCAAAGTGGCAGCAGCTACGGTAGCCATGGAAGGGGCTGCCCTGTACTGGTTGAGGGCACGGAAACCGGGCCTGACTTGGGAGGAATTCACAGATGCACTGGTGGCCCGTTTTGATTCACGGTTCAAGGGCAACCGATTTGAACGGCTGTCCGGGGCCAAACAGTTGGGAACCATAGAAGAATACAATAACCTTTTTGTGCAGTTGGCCAGACAAGTTCGTGGACTGTCCGATGATCACTATTTGGGGTATTTCATGAACGGGCTGAAGGGACCGATTCGGGGATCCTTACGATTGCTGCGGCCAAACAGCCTGGAGATTGCAATGGAGTTGGCCAGGGATATTGAGCACAACTTGTCCTTTCAAGATGGAGACTGGGAAAGTCAACCCTTCGACACAAACTTGCATTCGAGCAGTTTTTTGCGCCCAACTGGAAGTAAAAGCACGACCATAGGTGGTGGCAGCTTAAGAGGATCGAATGACAGCTTTCCTAAAGACATTGGGCAGCCTCCGGGGACAAAGTCAGGGCTGTCCGGGCAGCCCACGACACGCTCACAGTTCACTCGACTTCCGCCGAAAGAGTTTGCAGAATTTCGGGCGAAAGGATTATGCTTTAGGTGTAAGAAACCATTTACACCAGGGCATGACTGCCCCTTTAAGCAGTTGCGGGTAATGATAGCTGAGGAGGATGAGGAGTTGGACCTACAGCAACATGAGTACTGTGAAATAACTGGTCGGGAAAAGGTTCTGGAAGGCGATGAAGGATATTTTCCAGTCTATTCCATGGTTGGAAATTTCAGTCCTCGATCTGCGAAATTACAACCTTGAGGACAAGGTTATTTGAAGGGGGATGGATTGATAGAGAGCAAGAAGAATCTGGGGCGGGAACGGGATTGGGCTCACTTCCGTGGGCCGGTTCTGGGCTAGGGATTATAGTTTTATTTATTTATAAAATTTATCATTATGTTTTAGTTGGGCCTATTATTAGTAGAGTGGTTAGTTAAGTTAAATTGGGCTTAATTAGGGTTTAAGTAATTTGGGCTTGATTAGGGTTTCTTGTAGAAGCTATTTATACCCCTTGCTAGGGTTCATTCTGATTATCTGGGAATAAAAGTTGGTTTAGCCTTTTGGCTTTGGGCAACGGTATTTTTATCGTTGATTATCTGGGCAACGGTTCATCCCGTTGATTTTATTTTTCTGCTACACATTAACATCGTAATCCGAAATACCGATTATACGTTATAATTTGGGAGTTGGGACAGAGGGAGTACATGCAGAACAAGTGAAGCAAGACCAGCGAAGCTAGATCTCTTCTTATATGTCTTTGAATTGACTTTATGATAGGACCTCTCAAATCACAGTAGGAAATCACAGGAATAAGAATGAAAGATGTAAAGGTAACTAAACTTCATTAACAAAGATGAACAGTGTACAGAGTCCCAAAGAAGGAGATAATACTCCAACTTTCCAGTCCCAGACTCAAAGTCTAAACAGCCTGCCTTCCCTCAGCGGCTTTATTCTATAAATAGCCTTCTAAAAACAGAAGGTCGTTATTAGTTACTAACAGCCAATAACTAATAACAAGCTAGTCTATTTGGGCCTTCTAGAATATACTCTCCCATAGTATCCATTCTCATTAGTTAGACCAGCCGGATCCCTATCAATACCCCCTCCTTGCAGAACCAACTTGTCCTCAAGTTGGAGGTCAGGAAACTGATTCTGGATCATTTGAACATCCTCCCATGAGTCTTCGAAATCAGGAAGGTTCTTCCAGTGCACTAGAATCTCCTTCTTCCCTTCCTGATTAAGCCTACTGTCTCTCACAGTTTCAGGTCTCACTTGCAACTCACATTCTTCTGTGAGGCAATCTGGGAAGTTTTGGTAATACACTGTGGGTTTCAACACCTTCTTCAGCAACGAAATGTGGAATACATGGTGTATTCTACTTCCCTCAGGCAGCTTCAATCTGTAAGCTACAGGGCTTAGTTTTTCTGAAATTTCATAGGGCCCATAAAATCTTGGACTCAGTTTTTGATTGATTCTTCTAGCCAAACTTTTCATCTTGTAGGGTTGTATCTTTAGAAAAACTTTGTCTCCCACTTCAAACACCTCTTCCCTTCTATGTTTATCAGCTTGCTGCATCAAATTCTGTGCTCTGGTCAAATTTTCTTTCAATTCAGATAACATACAGTTTCTCTCAGCTGTTAACTTTGCCACTTCATCCACTGATGTCAAACTGACATCACCCCTGATGATGGCAGGTGGGGTTTGCCCAAACAGAGCCTGATAAGGGGTACTTTTCAAGGAGCTGTGATAGTTGGTATTGAACCAATATTCTGCTCAAGGAAGCCACTTGACCCATTGTCTAGTTTTCTTCCCACTTAAACACCTCAAATAGGTCTCTAAGTATCTATTGACCACTTCGGTCTGCCCATCACTCTGTGGGTGATATGCAGTGCTATATTTGAGCTTGGTCCCTGCCAATCTGAACAATTCTGACCAAAAAGAGCTCAAGAAAAGACTGTCTCTATCACTGACAATTGATTTTGGAAATCCATGTATCCTGACTACCTCCTGAACAAAGACTTCAGCTACTTATTTGGCATTAAAAGGGTGTGCCAGAGGTATAAAGTGTGAGAACTTTGTTAGTCTGTCCACCACCACTAGAATAGTATCCTTGCCTTGAGATTTTGGTAGACCTCCAATGAAATCCATGCTGATATCCCTCCACACATGTTCAGGTATTGGTAAGGGTTGTAACAAACCTGCAGGCTTCAGAGCTTGGTACTTATTCCTCTGACAGGTTTCACACCCCTGTATATAATCTTTGATGTCAGCTCTCATGCCCACCCAAAAAAATAAGTTGGCAATCCTCTTCATAGTCCTGAAATAGCCTGAATGTCCTCCAACACCAGAATCATGATATTCCCTGAGAATACTCAAAATTCTAGGGGATCCCTTTGGCAAAACCAACCTCCCTTGGTAGTATAATAACCCTCCTTTCATCTTGTAATCTGGGTATTGGTCTGGCTGAGTCAACATCTTCTGAATAACATCCCCCCATTTAGGGTCTTTCTCCAGTTCTTCTCCCAAATCTTCCCACTCCTGGCAAGATACTGTTGATAAACCTGCATGAGTAGACTTCCTGGAGAGTGCATCAGCAGCTTTGTTCTCAATCCCTGGTTTGTATTTAATGGTGAAATTGTACCCCATCAGCTTAGCTATCCATTTTTGTTGATCTTCTCCCATCACCTTCTGATCAGTCAGATATTTTAAACTTTTTTGGTCAGTATGTACTTCAAAATGCCTTCCCAAAAGATAAGGTCTCCATTTCTGAATAGCAAAAACAATAGCCATCAGTTCTTTCTCATACACAGATTTACTCAGATGTTTGAGAGACAATTGTTTACTCATGTAAGCTATTGGACCTCCCTCCTGCATAAGTACAGCCCCCAACCCTTTTCCTGAAGCATCTGTCTCAACTACAAACAGTTTGTTAAAATCAGGCACCCTTAGAACTGGTACTGAAACCATAGCATCCTTCAGTTCTTGGAAAGCTTTGGTAGCCATCTCATTCCATTTAAAACAGTCTTTTTTAATAATAAAGTGAGAGGAGCAGCAATCTTACTGTAACCTCTCACAAACCTCCTGTAATACCCAGTTAGACCTAGAAATCCCCTCAATTCCTTCAGATCTTTAGGGATATTCCACTTCTTCATAGCCAATTTTTTTTCAGGATCAGCTGCTACTCCTTCCTCTGAAATGATATGTCCCAAATAACTCAACTGTCTTTGACCAAAAGAACATTTCTTCAGGTTAGCTACCAACTGATTTTTCTGCAGAGCCCCCAAAACCAGTCTTAAGTGTTCTTTATGATCTTCTCTTGTCTTGCTGTAAACCAATATATCATCGAAGAACACCAAGGCAAATCTCCTTAAGAAAGGTCTCAATACCTCATTCATGAGTGACTGAAAAGTTGATGGAGCGTTAGTCAGCCCAAATGGCATGACTAAATACTCATAATGTCCTTCATGAGTCCGGAAAGCTGTCTTATGAGTATCCTCTGCCTTCATTCTAATTTGATGGTACCCGGATTTAAGATCCAACTTAGAAAATATTCGGGCACCACCTAATTCATCCAAAAGCTCCTCTATCACCGGTATGGGAAACTTATCAGGTACAGTCACCCTATTAAGGGCCCTATAATCCCCACAAAACCTCCAACCGCCATCTTTCTTCCTTGCCAATAAAATGGGACTACTGTAAGGACTATTACTGTTTTTAATAATTCCAGATTTCAGCATTTCCCCAATGATTTTCTCTATTTCATTCTTTTGATCAAATGAATACTTGTAAGGTCTGAGATTTGGAATATTAGCTCCCTCCTTGATATTAATTGCATGATCACAATCTCTGGCAGGTGGAAATTTCAGTGTAGCTGATAAAACTTCTGGAAAATCTGCAATCAACATTTCCCAATCACCTCCAATTTCTGACTTCTGTTCTTGTTTCTCCTGCTGTCCTTCACAGTATAACAGGTAGCCATCCCCCACCTGATGTAATATTTGGGCCATAGTCTTCATTGAAACTTCCATCTGATTTGAAACCATATTTCCTTGGATGATGCAAGTACCTCCCTGATTCCTCCATTTGATAATTTGTTGTTTAAAATTTATCTCCATGTCTCCCAGTTCAGTCAACCATTCCATTCCAAGGACTAAATCAACACCTCCTAGATCCAGTAGATAGAAGGTTTGATGAATTTCCACTCCTTGTACATTTATACCAATGTCAGTACATTTGCCCACATTAGGTATGCAGTCTCCATTCCCTATTTGTACCTTATATCCCTTGATTGGACTATAAGGTATATTCCACCTTTCTGCTAAAGTTCTGGACATGAAGTTATGAGTGGCCCCACTATCAATGAGAATTGTCACTTCCATCTCTTTCTCCTGCCATTGTATTTTACCCTTCACCTTGAAAGTAGTCATAGAAGGAATGCCTTCCTTGCTCAAAATGGACAGCTGCATGTTATTCATGTCCATCTGAACTGTATTGTTGGATTTATCCCCTTCTGATTCCATATACTCCACATCAGATATCTCCTCTCCCTCTGAATTTTCCACCAAAATCATCTTGTAATTTTTCATTCTGCAGATGTGTCCTCTTCCCCAATTTTCACCACACTTAAAACATAATCCCTTCTTGCTCCTCTCTAGCAGTTCTTCCTGAGACAATCTAGGTCCCTGCTTCTTCAATTCTTTCCCTTCATTGTTAATTTTATTATCCATTATCACCTTAGATGCATTACTAGAGTTGTTAGTACTTCCAGGATAACTCCTCCACCTGCTGTTTTCATTCCAATTTTGTCCCTGAGATTGACTAAACACCTTGTTCTGACTCTTTTTCTTACCTTCCTCCTTGTTTTTCATAAACATAGCTTCATTATTCTTGTTTTCAATCAAGGACACAATATCCATTACCTCAGCTAGAGTCCTGGTAGTATACAGCTTCAACTCTGCCCTTATATCCCTCTTCAGCCCCTTGAGGAAGACTCCTTTCACCACTTCTTCAGATAAGTGTTCCTGAGATGAAATGGCTGTTTCAAATTGGTTTCTATACTCAGCTATAGAACCTTTCTGCTTCAGACTGAATAGAGACCCCAAAGGATCCTGTACTACTTCCGGTTGAAATCTCCTGATCAACGCCTTAGTATATGCGTTCCAATTTAAGTGTATTGCTTGTCTCTCCCACCATTGGAACCAGCTAAGAGCTTGATCTTCCAAGGCAATCACTGCGACATCCAACTTCTCTTCTTCCGCAGTTCTATTCAACCGGAAATACCGGTTCATCCTCAATAGCCATCCGCTAACATCCTTCCCACTGAAAACCGGCAGATCAATCTTCCTCCTCATACTCGGATTGTTTCTGTGATTCCATCGCGGTTCATACTCAGCTCGCGAACCTGTGTGATTCGTTTGATTATCCGAGTCGCCAGAGGAATCATCATTCCTCAAATGCCTGTGCTGAGTTGTTCGATGAGAGTTGTTCGACCTCTGCGAATTGCTCCTCGATCGATGATTGATCTGAACCTGTAATTCTGCAATGCTAGCCTGGATCGTTGCTTGCATTGCCGCCAGATTGTCCATACTCGCCTGCATATCACGCTGGCTTCGTTCCACATCGTTGACCCTCCCTTCCATTTTGGCGCGCGTATATCTCATCCAGTGATCGAATGGCTCTGATACCAATGATAGGACCTCTCAAATCACAGTAGGAAATCACAGGAATAAGAATGAAAGATGTAAAGGTAACTAAACTTCATTAACAAAGATGAACAGTGTACAGAGTCCCAAAGAAGGAGATAATACTCCAACTTCCCAGTCCCAGACTCAAAGTCTAAACAGCCTGCCTTCCCTCAACGGCTTTATTCTATATATAGCCTTCTAAAAATAGAAGGTCGTTATTAGTTACTAACAGCCAATAACTAATAACAAGCTAGTCTATTTGGGCCTTCTAGAATATACTCTCCCATAGTATCTATTCTCATTAGTTAGACCAGCCGGATCCCTATCACTTTAGGATGTCAATGAGCACATAATACCACAACAACATCCAAGCCTTAGTCCCATAAGAGTTTGACGTCAATGAGCACATATTAAGTACCTAAAATTCTTCTACACCTACCGTGTTACAATAGAAATGACTAAAATGCCCTGCTCAGTTATTAAAAAAAAGCATATCCGCACCTGCATTCATCAGCATCCCACTCAAAATTTTAAGCTATCTCAACTCCAAATGTCTTATATGTGTTACATGGTCTCTTTGTGAACCTTTTGTAGTATACAAAGTTAGGGTGCAAGAATTGTGTTGTATGGGCCAAAAGTGACAACATTCCAAGAGATGTACTTAGACTTGCACCAGATGCCACGGTACAGCAGATTGTACTGTTTTTCTCTATATTTGCGTATTTTGTGAGATACTTAAAAAACTAGGGGCCTACTCAGATAAATTCAGGGCCTACTAAGTGCACCAATGATTGCGCTTTGGTGGCCGGAGTACTGAGTGAACAGGTGCTCCTATCTCATTAAAGCTCTTTCCCTTCTATTGTGGCTAATCTATCTCTTTACATTCATTGTGGGTTCATTACAGGTAGGTTACATTGTTATGATGGACCCTTCAACAGGAACTAGAACACAATTACTGAGGATGAGAGGTGCGTGGGTGGTCGGCGTCTACCATCCTTTAATTGATGGCAAGCTTGTTAAAGTCCTGCATGCGTATGATCTCTAACACAACCTCATACTGCATCATTTTGCACAGAAAAACTTCCCATATGACCATCTTACAGTGAGACGGTGATACTAGTAGTCCAGTATGACCATCTACTTAGTAAATTTTGTTCTATATTTTCTCGTGTTGCTTTTTAAAAAATGAAATTGTGTGGTTGAAATTTAATACTCGTCCAAAAGAAGATAGTACCGCAGTACTACTTTAGCAAGGTACAAGTTTTTTATTTTTAGATCAAGTTATAATCTTTTAAAAGTGAGGAATGACCTTTTATACTCCTAAACCTATTTCCAAGATTGTTTGAAGTAATTACTAAACTTTTGTCGCTTGGCTTTGTAGTAGTTTTAATAAAAAATTAAAATTATTTGTAAAACATGCACTTTTTGGGATGAAAAAGAGTTCATGAAACAAGGCTTTTCGTAGAACATATGGAGTTTATAAAAAAATTTAAGATCTTAGAGAAAATTCCAAAAATAGGAGTAAAAATAATGTTAAAAAGCATGAGTACTATGTTTCCCCCCTAAATAGGAGTAATTTACTGTTATCCCGAAATGCTTTCCAGAAATCTTACTGCAAAATTTTGGCATTACCAAACTTTAATATGGCAGTGTTATTGGCATAATTGGCAGTACTTTTCAAGCATGACTATAATTACTTGTATTTAAGGAATACAAATATGCCGCTCTTACGTTGGAATTCAACATTTTTTTACTCCTATTTAGGTGAATTTCTTAAAACGTTTAACCACAAAATTATACCCATAAAAATAAAATACAATTTTGGGAATATGGTCAAATAGGCCCTTCTACTATTTCAAATTCATCACTTAGGACTCTATACTAAAAAAAGTACTACCTTTATCCCAAAAAACATTACCATTTTCAAAACTTTGACCAACTATATTTTTATTGAAAATTATTAATAATATAAAAATTATATAAAAATGTACTTTGTTAAAACTTAAAAGTACTTTCATAAAAGTATAAAGTTATAACTTCCACAATATTATACTAATAAAAATCATGATTCAAATTTTATAAAATGACAAAGTTTCTTGGGGCGGAGGTAGTATCATATAAGTATGTTTACTTTAAAAAAATAATCTATTCAGTCATTTAATCATTTTTTGATCTGTAAAAGCTGTAATAACAAGGTATTTATATTAAAAAACTCTAAGAAATTGTTAAAATTCCAAGAAATATATATAACAATTTTGAAAAATCTCATTATGTCAAAGTCAACATTTTTGCGGTTTTGGAATTATTTATATATTCTAGATCTATTTAGAAGGTTTTTACTTTAATAATTTTATATTTTTTGTATTTTCACTATATTTTTTCCATTTTCTTGATTTTTTTTCTTGTAATGTTTTTAAATTAATTATCTCCTGTTAAATGTATACTATTTCTATATTATTACATTATTTCTCTTTTTTCATCATTTCCAATGAAGCCAAAAACTCACTATTTTTTTGCCTTGGAATACGATGGAAAAAGCAAAATGGCTCACTAAAGGGAAAATTCCCGAAATAGGAGTAAAAACGTTTGAAAATTCCAAAATAGAGCTGTCATATCCCCTCCCCCCCCCAAATTTGGAAAATACTGTCGTGTTTAAAGTTTGGTACCACCAAAACATGACAGTAAGTATTCCTATTTAAGGAATAAAAACATGAAAGTCCTATTCTGGAATACACAAACGTCTTTACTCCTATTCAGGACAATTTCCTCTCACTGAACTGTGAGCCCTTCCTTGTTATGAAGCAACAGTCAGTGAGCCAGTCCATGCAATTTTCGACGCGATTTTCATCATGGGTCATCCGGAAACAGTATATATGTGCTTTCGTGCAAGGATAAGGCTGCATACATCCGACCCCCCTTATCCCACCGCAGGTGGGAGCCTTTGCGGCACTGGGGTAATGTTGTAGTACTACATCACTTCTCAAAACTATATGAATTTTTATAAGATGTATCAATTGTCCTACATTTTATAAAATGGCTTGATTGATTGTATCAAAACTATAAGGGCACTATATGATACTTTTTTTTAGGATATGGACCTAAATGATAGATTGGAAATAGTAGAAGGGTCTATTTGACCATTTTCCCTAAAATGTATTGTGAAATAGTAAAAGCATAGTGAAGTTTATTATGGGAAGATGGAATAATACTTTTATTACCAATTCCTCTGTACATAAGAACTATCATGTTGTGTTGGATAGTTCACATGCTCCGAACCTTGAGCTTCCATCCTCCAATACTTCGAATTAAATGACAGGAGAAACAAAAAGGTGTATGCATGGACAGTTGACGATGAAGAGTCGATGAAGAAAATGTTAATTGAACGTGCGGATGCTATCATCACTAGCAACCCATCTTTACTGAAGCGTGTCATGCAAGATGCAAAAACACAATGCCTTGAAGATGGTTTTTCATTGTCTGCATGACGACACATCGAAATTAGAAGCTCCATTGTTGCAGTACACGTTATCAGCTATTTCATTCTTTAGTTATTGATGATGCTCACCTCTGTAGTCTCTGGATCTATTTATGACAAGATATTGTACGTGAAGTTATATTCATGGCAGTACACAATTTCATGCTCATTGTTACACTATGGGAGCTGCTGCCGTGCCCTCTTTAGGGATATACTTGAAAACATATTTATTTTGTTAACTGTCTTCCGAGACTCTGACTTCTGAGCATCAAATAAGCAGTGGCGGAGGTGGAGGGGTGGCCTACCGGGCCCCGGCCCAGCCCAGTCCAAATTTTAAAATTGCTTATATTTTTAATGTAAAAATCTATGTGTAAAAATTTATTTGTCAAAATTCTTTGTACCGGCCCAACTCTTACTCTTGACTACGCCCCTACAAATAAGGATAAGTTTGTATGGACGATTTAATATAATGGATTGCAATGACTCAAGGTATGTAGTACAAAATGTAAAGGAGATGAGGAACGGAGTGAAATGTAATAGAATTATATTGACTATACATACATGTGTTAATGTGTTATTATGAAGATTGGGACATTGTTCTGCACTATGGTGGTTGCCTGGTTGGTAAAGTACAGTTCCATACTTCCTTACTATCTACCTGGGTACATGTCAATAGGGTTGGACTCGGGCCGGGCCAACCGGCCCGCTACTGTGCGGGCCCGGACCGGCCTGGTGAACTGGTTGGTTGGTCGGTTTTGGCCACCCGGCCCGGTGGGATGGCGGTTCAGGCTCAGGCCCTTCAAAAGGTGAACCGGCCGGTTCGGGCTTGGGACAGACCAATTTTTATTTTTTGAATTTTTTTTAAGTTTTTGGGTTGGGCTGGGTATTTTGGGCCATTTGAGGTGGTTAGGGTTGGTTTGGGGGTGAGGGGGAGGGTTGGGGGTTAACTAGGAAAAGTCAAAAAAAAAAAAAATAGAACCGAGGTCCGGCCCGGCCCGGACCCGGGGGTTACCTGGGCCGGTTCCGGGCCTCCCATACCTTGAACCGAGGCTCGGCCGGTTCAAGGCCAGAACTGGGCTCGGCCTGAACCGAGTCCATCCCTACATGTCAATTCTAGACGTTACGCTCCCTAGATTGTGTACATTAGGGATGGACTCGGGTCCGGGTCGGGCCTAGGCCCGGGCGGGCCGGCGGGTCAGAAATGGTGGACCCGGGACCGGCCCGGGTAACCCCTGGGTCCGGGCCGGGCCGGGTTGGGCCCATTATAATTTTTTTTTGTTTTCCTCTTCCTAATTAACCTCCCTCCCACCCCCAACCCCCAAATGGCCCAAAATACTCAGCCCAACCCAAAAATTTAAAAAAAAATTGAAAAAAAAATAGTTTTTGGCCCGAACTGGGCCTGGGCCCGGCCGGGTCGAGCCTTGTTTTGGGTGACCCGAGCCCGGACCGGAAAACCCACGGGCCGGGCCTACCCGGACCGGTCACTGACCGGGCCACCGGGTCGGGCCGGTCCGGAACAGTACCGGTCCCGGGCCGGTTCCGGGTCGGGCCACCCGGCCCGAGTCCATCCCTAGTGTACATAGATCATCATCATTTTCATTTACCCCAGTGCCGCAAAGGTTCCCACCTACGGTGGGGTAGGGGGGTCGGATGTACGAGTCTTACCCCTCTACTAAAGCACAGAGAGATTGTTTCCGGATGACCCATAGTGAAAATCGTGTCCAAAATTGCATGGATTGACTGCTGCTCCGTAACAAAGAAGCGCAGACAGTTTAGTGAGCCATTTTGCTTTATTCCATCATAATCTCAAGTCAAAAAATAATGAATCTTTGGCTCCATTACAAATGAATTTTTGTGTACATAGATATTTATTAAAAATGACCTTTTTATGGATATTATTGAAATAAATTCAAAAGACAAAAATATCTTATTTTATGGTTTTCCAAAAAAAGTGACTTATCATATCATTTATGACTTTTATTTAATATTACAGTTACTATTATGATGCTCCTTTTTTTCACAATGGGAATTTAATTACTCCCTCTGCCCCGTAAAGAAGTTCCTAGTTTGATCTACACACATATTTATGTAAGGTAGAGTTTTGTATTGACTTTCCAAGTATACCCTTACTTTATGTCAAATCCAACAAAAAGTGGATAAAAAAAGTAAGGGTAGTTGTGACTTTTTGGTTAAAAGTGGTTTCCTTTTATAAAAATGAGAACTTCTTTTTGGGACATCCATAAAAGGAAAGTGAGAACTTCTTTGCGGGACAGAGGTAGTATTATTAATGAAGTCATGACTCAAAGCCCGCATAATACAATTAGGAGGAATTGAGAGCCACAACCGACACACAGGGGTGGATTCGGGGCGGGCCTAGGTCCGAGCGGGCCGGCGGGTCTGAATAGGTGGACCCGGGACCGGCTCGGGTAGCCACCGGGTCCGGCCCGGGCCTCGGGCTTGGTTATTTTTTTTGCTTACCTATCTATCCCTGACCCCCCTCACCCCCACCCCCCAAACCCCTCCTAAACATCAAGCCCAACCCAAACCGAGCCGAAACAAATGAAAAAAAAATCAATTTGGCCCGAACCGGGCCTGGCCGAATCGGGCCTTGTTTTGGGTGACCCGAGCTCGGGCCGGAAACCCCTCGGGTCGGGCCTACCCGGACCGGTCACTGACCGGGCCACCGTTTCGGGCCGGGCCAGAACAGTGCCGGTCCCGGGCCTGTTCCGGGTCGGGCCACCCGACCCGAGCCCACCACTAGCCACACATGGTTGTTAGACAACGAAATGGCTCTTTGAGCAAGATTGTGACTTGTGAGCAACATGTTTCGTAGACCGCCACTCAAAAGTAGGCTTGGACTCGGGCCGGTCTGGATCAGGCCTCAGGCCGAGCCTAACCGGGCTTTTTTTTTTGGTTTCTTGAGGCCCAAAACCGGTCCGGATAGCTATCGGGTCCGGGTCGAGCCCTGGCCGGGTCAACCCGGGTACATTATTTTTTTATTTTTTTTTTTATTTTCTAATTACTTCCTACCCCACCTCCCAAACCCCAAACCCCTCCAAAACACCCAACCCAACCCATTTACCTTTTAAAGAATTTAAAAATAAATAAATTTGAAAAAAAAGATGACATCCCATCATCTCTGAGGCCCCCTCAACGCTTCAGGACCTCAAGAATCTTTGCTTTCTTGGGCCCCCTATCTTGGTCGTGCCACAAACTGACCAGTCGCATCCCTCAGCAGTGCTTTTCATGCCATTGTAAAAGCTTTTCACTTCTTCTATTATACTATAATACACTTTTTTGAAAAACATTAATAACTTTTACTTTTTGAAAAACATTTCTTTCTTCCTTCAAAAAGAAAAACATTTCTTTCATAAACACTATTAACTTGCAGTGCTTATACCGTGGAACCGGTGCATGGTGAGCACCATGCACCCTTTATTATTTTTTATTTCTCTTTTTCTTAAAATTGTTAATAATTTTTTTATTTTTGATCCGATTTTTATAAAATTTATATCAAATTTTTTTATTTTTCATGATCTTTCAAATGAGACCAATATTGCCTATGTAATTTTAATTTTTTACATTCATACATTTTTTTTGTAATATATTTTTATATGCATATACTTTTTCTATAATATTTTTTATCACTTTTATATGTTTTTAGAAGTTTTTAAGATATTGAGTTTGTTTATTTTGCTTCTAGCTTGGAGTTACATTTGATAATATACGAAGTTACATCATCTTATACTCCAGTTACAAGTTATTATGTGTGAGTTACATCTTGTTATGTGCAGGGGCGGATCTAGCATTTACTTTCAGGTGGGGCCAAAATTTAATTAAATAACGTATATTATAAAAAAATATCAAAATGTAGTACAGTTTAGTAATATCTTAGAAGTCAAAATGTAAATTATAGAAATGTCAAAGAATAAAGTAAATATTACAGAACCGACAATACAATTATCATAAAAGTCGTAGATATATCGAACCGAAGTTTTATCGGTTACCCAAATGTTTAGTGACAATTTTTAGAATAGTTTCTCGGAAATCAGATAAACCGATTTTTTAACTCTAAAATCTAAACTCTATGTAAAGAAAACTTATTTTCACCTACGAAACCCAATGTATTCAAATAATTAATTTTTCGGACAATATTCAAAAAGCTCAATGAATAGAACTAATTGGTTTTTCAGACTAATAAAGCCCAATTAGTTGGTCTAATTACAATAGCATGTTCCGAGACTTGGATGGAAAATATAAAAAAAAATGCTGCCACCTAAAGGATTGAACACATAACCTCTATGTTGCACGGTTAGGCTTCTACCATCACACAAACTTAGCTCTTGTTTACATTAGGACGTTTGTTTTAATTATACCATTACTTCACCGTGCATATATATTATATACATATATATACTAGTAATTTTTTTTGAGGTGGGGCCTAGGCCCTCCCTGGCCCTATGTCAGATCCGCCCCTGGTTATGTGTGAGTTACATCTTGCTATACACGAGTTACATATTTTTATGCGCGAGTTACATGTAATTATGTGTGAGTTACATCTTGTTATGTGTGAGTTACATGTTGTTATACACGAGTTACATACTTTTATGCGCGAGTTACATGTAATTACGTGTGAGTTATATCTAATTATTTGTGATTTTTTACTTATCTTTATCTTGAACTAATTCAATTATAACTGAATTAATTTTTTTCTTTGCCAATTTAATACAAAATTTTATTAATCCACATAAAATAAGTATATTGTATTTCATATTCATACACTATTTTTCAAATGATAAAAATGAAAGATGTAACAGGGGTTTATTTCATGGTGTAACTCACATACATTAAAATGTAACTCGCGTATATTAAGATGTAACTCGAGCAGAAGAAGATGCAACTTCATGATATATTATCAAATGTAACTTCAAAATAATTTGTTAAAATTACACAAGCAATATTGGTCTCATTTGATAGATCATGAAAAATAAAAAAATTTGATATAAAATTTATAAAAATGGGATATCAAATAAAAAAGTTATTACAATTTTTAACAATAAAAGAAATAAAAAATAGGAAGCTGCGTCGTTTTGGGATCGGGCGCACCATGCTCATGGTGCGCCGATCCCAGGATATAAATTGCCATTAACTTGTGTTTTAATCACTTTATCTAAAATCACTTTAAAAAATTACTTTGAAAAAATAGAAGCAATAAAAATGATTGCTAATTTTCTTTTGTTTACTTTACATTTGGGTCCAAAAAGGTGGAATCTCCCACCCTAGGAGCCCTCCATCCCGACCCGACAGGATGGTGGAAGAGTTAATCACGGTGACTCAGTCAGCAAAGTGACAGTAAGCCTTATACTCGTGCGCACCAGAGGTCCAACCTTATTTCAAATTCTGTAACCTCCACACGGCTGCTGCCGGTTTCGAACCTTGGTCACTTGGGTCGAATTTTCTCAGCACTCGACCAACTGAGCTAGCCGTGCGGGTTTGTTTGTTTACTTTACAGATCCTATATAAATGTGCGTACTTTTTTGGAGATAATTACATGAACATTAATTGGTTACGATGATTTGCTTAATTTTGACCGTAATTTCAACTGGTTTTTTCTAGGA